ATGATGATGAATGAGAAGGGGGGGTCACACACACACACACACACACACACACACAGACATGCATTAATTGTTCCCTGCTGGCTGGACACCCAGTGCAGTTGTTTTATTAATCAATCACCAGAGCGGTAATACCCTCATTATTTTATAGTGCAGCTCCATGTGCTTTTGTCCGTGTATACTTGTGTGCTTGTGCTATGCTACCATTTTGTGTGTGTGTGTGTGTGTGTGTGTGCGTGCGTGTGTTCAACTGGGTCAAACCCCTCTGTTGCCTCACAGATAGTCCACTGGGAGATAAACGCAGAGAGAGATGAGCTTTAATCCTGGATTGGAGCTGCATCCCCTAACTCAGTTAAACGCACATGGAAACACACACACACGCACACGCACACACACACAACTCCATACACATTAAAAATGTAACCATAAACCGAACCCTTAAACTAACTCTACCCCTATCATCGCCCTATCCTAAGCCTTCACATTCAGTTACACACATTCATGTACCATTTAAGACCCTCATGGTGTCACACACACACACACACACACACACTTGCATGAGCAGACAATCGGTACCTCTGTGCCCTCCTGCCTGTATTCTATATTTGTGTGACGTGACAGCAGTCTGTTTTTACAGTCTTTGTGTCCTTAACAGATTTTTTTAAAGTAATCAAAATGACCAACGTTTCTAACCTCTGACTCAAGGTCGGCGTTCTCGCTGATTCTGAGGCTCTTGATCATATTGGTGTTCATCAGCAGATTGAGTTGGCTTAGAAGTCATTACATGAATTACATTAGCAGCAACTTGATACTTAATTTGTAAACGTAATCACAACTGAACTTGTAGGACTGCATTTTACTTTGAAATCCATCATTGTTACAAAAAGTTACATTATTTTACAGTGGAGAAAGATTTTAAGTTTGAAGATAGATTAGAACAATATATGAAACAAATAAGAAGGAAGAACGTTCAGGGTTGGTGGAGGATAGATGGCAGCAGCGAAGTGTGTTCCAGGGAAATAATTTGACAGTGTATTGGCACACGGACAGCGCTGGCAACATGTGCCCCCAATAATAAAGAATGGCAGGTGGAAATGATGGCAGCAGGTAGAAAATGGTGTAAGTCAGCAGAAATGAGACACACACACATGCACTCACACTACGTCTGACTTTCTCCATCCACCCTAAACAAGAATGACGCTGAACAAAAAGGGTTGTCGTTGCTGAAGCCTGAAATTGCCTTTTACTTCCTGCCGTTGATTGTGTGTCAGACTCAGTGAGACAAGAGCTGGGACCTCATGACAGATCCAATGTGCGCATGTGTGTGTGTGTCTTATTAATCTGGACTCACACCAATTTGAAATTGATTTGATATTCTGCTTGTAGGATTGACTTTATGCACGGAGGGCGAGCGTTCCGGTCAGTTAAGCGGCCACCAATCTAACTTCCCCTCTGGTTAGCAGCCTGTTGCTGCCGATAAGCTCAACGTTCTAAAAATGTGTAGTATAATCACTTTGAATAAAACATGCGCTCATTCATAAAGTATTCCTTGTTTGCTCATTTTGTTTAATAGTATAGATATTTTGAAAGTGGTCATGACGCATAAGGACAACTTCTACTTTTGTTTTTTAAAGCTCATTGAGTGATAATATCTATTAGCACATTTTGGAATGCAGGAGCGATATGATAAAAGTATTTTTTATTGTAGTATTCATCTGTTTGGATTTGTGTTTGTCTTTAAGGACAACTTTCTCAATAGGAGAAAATCAACTCAGGCTCATCTACCATCGTCTGAGTTGTAAGATTTCTTCTACCTTCCTCATCAATGTGTCCAGTCTCTGAGCCCAGATGTCATCCAGTTGTGCACCGAGAGAAGCTCATTGGACACTAATGCACACAGATTATTTACATATCGGTGTGTGTGTGTGTGTGTGTGTGTGTGTGTGTGTGTGTCCTGCGCACACGGAAAACTTGTGGTGTCGTGGCAGGAAGGAGTAATACTTAAACTTCAGCATGTGGCCTCTATCGGCATCTATTGGGGGATATTTGAGCATTTTTACTGATGGATTTGTCCAGTAAACAGACCGTCTCTGACCTCCAGTGGTAAACTGCAGAAGTACATTTAATGTTATTGTAAAGAAAGGGCCACTAGGTGGCGCTACAGGTGAGAGGATGACCATTGGCTGTGCGCAACACACGATCAGTCAAACCTGTCACACAACCTGAACATAGGACGGTGGTAAACATGACGGTGCACTGAGACCCAGTTAAAAATGCTCTGTTCTCATTGGCCAATTTCACTGCGCACTGAGCTGTTGTCACATTGTCAATATTTGAAAAGTCCAAAGGTCCCATGATCACACATGTATCTCTACCTCTCCAGAATACTTGTGTCAAATGTCACAATAGTCAGCTTTACATGTGCATGTAATCCAAAGGAGGGGAACAGGATCACGTGTCAGAGGGAAGGATCGGTCACATTCCTCAGAAGTTAAACGGAAAGTGAAACGGAAGTGAGCTGCTATGAAAACATCCACGTGTGTGTCAGACAACTGGAGTCACAAACTGCCTGATCATCCAGTCGACGTGTCACCGGGGTGTGACGGCGTGGCCCACAGGGAGGGCACAGCACTGGCACCACTCGACCTGCGGCATATTTCACAAGCTGCCTTCACATGGATTTCTTTGGAAACTGGCTGTCGTTTAAGCCGGGGAGATCTTACATTACAACACACAAGCGTTACTATAATATATAATCCTACCCTGAATTATTTAGTAATAAACTGAGCTTGCCATGAGGGGGGGGGTGTCAAGGACACCCGTGTAAAACTCACCGCAGGGTCATGCGCTTTTTTTCTTTCCCTGCAGATACTGTCACGAGGCCGGCTGGCATGCGGCTCGTCTGAAGCAGCAGTGGGGGCCAGAGTGGTGAAGAGGAAGCACATGAGGGCCCTGATTGATACTGGGTGGATGGGGAGGGGGGGCTGACAGCAGAGACGCGCGTGGCTCTCGCTTTCGTCAAACCGGTCTGGGAGGAAGAAGAGGAGCCGCTTGTTGGCGTGAAACTGACACACTCTTTGTTTGTTTGCGGTTCAGAAGTGTGGCGGGGAGGTGCAGCGTGACACACTTCCCTTTGTCAGCTCAATGGACGGGTTTTCCCACTGCGGTGACGTCCCGCACACACAAACAATCGTGTGGAAACATCAGCTGACGTTATTGGGAGCCTGTTTATTAACGACTGCACTAAGCTGCGGACTGAATGGATACAACGCTTGGTTTTGTTTGACTCGTTTGTCCTTCTTCTGCATTGAGACCACGGGGAAGGTTACGCTTGTCCCAGCGGCATCAGCTGGAGCCCACGGTACCTCACTGAGGCTCAGGATCCTCCGACTTCATCCTGGCTGTCAAAACTGTGGAACCGTGCACATGTCTGTGAGACATTTCCGACATCTCGGGAATGAAAGATCAGGCAGCGGAGGCGGGGAGGATGTCTCCTGGTGGGGGCTGATGGGGAGATGAAAAGGGGGATAAATGAGCTTTCAGAAATCAAAACATCAGACATTAAGTTCAGCTCAGTATTTTTCACTTCCTTGTTATTTTGTATTCTCCTCACAAACAACAATATAGCTCTTCACTTTCTGATTTGTGTCATGTGACGCGTTCCACTTGATTGTCTGTGTCTAATACTAATTGGGACAAAGGCGCCTTCATGGGTGTGTCTTGTCACAAAAATGCACCTGAAGTCTGAGAATCTAGAAGCAAGACAATCAAGAAGCAAGACAATGGAGAGGGAAGCGTTCATATGTTTCACTTCCTCTCTAAACATGATACAGATACAAGATAACTGGAGGCTAAAATCATATTTTTCTCCAGCATCTGTCATTTTCATCCCCTGGGATGATGTTCATCTGCAGCTTCAATTCAAAAGGAAAAAAGATCTGTTGAAATCATTCTTCTCTGGGTAGTCGATTTAGTCCAGGAATAGCAAATGTGTTTTAATTTGAGACCAGACTGTTTTACAAAAAGCACAAGGACGCAAATCTCTGTTCGTCCGAACTAAACAGCACCTTTATCAGCGATTAGACACAGTTGATAACGTAATCATTATCTGTGATTAAAGGTGCTGTGTGATTTAATGCCTCAGTGAAGACAGAAAGACGTTGCGCTGTTTGTTTGTAGATCAGTGTCCACTCGTTATTTTTGTATTATCTTGAAATAACAATAATCTTTTTTTATTGCTTGCTTGTGTTAACCAAAAGCTTAAGAATATGAGTATGGTAATATTGGACTATTTCAGTTTTAGAAAAAATCCTACTGTCATAAATGAAGACACTAGGAGACAGATTATCCTCATTATGATACACACACTGAAAAATAACTAAAATGCCACTCGAGAGCAGGTTTCCGTGGAAGCGCTCACGTAAATAACACACGGGCCGTGACAGTTTGTCATGCGCATGATGTCTGATCCGCAAGCACCTGGCACGATAACAAGCGACCTGTTGGCCGCGTGTGTCTGCGTGACACAGGCCGTCCTTTTCGTCGCGCCGCCAGCGATATCTTTCAACAGCGGAGTTATTGTACGAAAGCCGGGTGCTGCCGGCTCTCACAGTAACACGAGAAAAGGTCATCTGGACGGTGGAGAAATCTGTGTTCTACATCGACCAGAGGCATCACTGAAACGTCAGTTTAACCGGCACAGATTAGAAATAAGAGCGTTGAGAGATTACATTTTCGCTTGGAATGCTTTCAAAAAGGACGTGTACATTTGGTTAATACGGTCCTTAGACACTGCAGCTGGATGTGAAGCAGTCCTGGAACACCAACACCACCCCCCCAACATTTCCCGTCCCAGCGTCTTGCTCATTTACAGCCCGAGAGTCCATCAACATTCATCCACTCATCCATTTGCTCGGCCTCCTCTTAACGGACTAGTTTCATCCAACAACATCTTTGCGAAATGTGGGAAGGCAGCTGTGAATATACACAAGCAACGAGAGGGAGAGGTTAATGTACAAAACTTTATTTAAACCAATAAACTGAAATGTGAATGAACATGGTGCCCTTTTTTTCTCAGTTTAATTTTGTAGAATAATTTGCTGTGTGCATGAGGTTCATGCTGACGGCGATCAAAACAATACCTGGACATCACATCAAAAGACAAGCTTAATGGTCCCAAGTTATTAGAGCGAGTAAGTAAATTGGTGTTTTTCCTCCCATTAGTCGGTTATAAATATTACGTGGTGCTGGGACAGCCTCTGCATGCGTTTGTCTACCGTGCTTCTATTCATCACATTTTGTACACAATGTACAAAATTACAAAACACGTATTTTTTCAAATCCATCACTTCTGCCTGAAATAGGCTCACAGAGCTCTTTTTAAACATTGACGGTGGCACTTTACACTAATAATAAAAGACTTAAAGATGAAAGAAAATAAACATTATTCATGCAGCAATATGTATGCATCATACATATCATGTAACAAGTTTGCATCAAACACACAGCGCTCATTCCAGTTGTTCATTCGCTTATGGTTTCCCCAGCTTTAAGTTCAAGAGGAACTCAAACTGACCAGTGCTCACGACACCTGCAATGAGAAAGAGGGAAAACAATATTCAGGCCAGGACCAACAATGGTCAACCGCTATTGTCTGTTACTTTAAAACAACATAAAGTGTTGGCCACGTTAACACAGATTATTATCACAGGAGTCTCTGATAAGTGAAAACATTTGTTTTGTTTTTTATTTAGGTCTTCAAAATGTCTTCATGCACTTTGAAATGAAGTCAGAGGGCTTTCTTTAATCAAGGCTTTTAAAGTGTGAAGTACGATTCTCCTTTCATGTGTTTGGTTGGTGCCACTGACTGTAAAGCTGGACTTATTACTGCAGCATCTCGCACTCTGACCCCCCAGTGGTGCAAGGGGGCTGCAGCATCGTGCTACGTGCAGCACACGCTCTATACTTCATGTTATTACATTTCTATTTTGATACATTAACAAATAAACGACCGCCCAGTCTAACCCAGCGAGTACGTGCAAATAATTGGGAGCTTGAGGGTGTAAATCCCCGGAGAAGGTATCGAACGCTCTTCTATCCCGCCTCCAGTAATAAGGTCAGAAAAGTGTTTAATTGATGCAACCTTCTGACAGTGAGATGCAGCCAGAGGATCCTGATAAGGGAAACAAACTGTGTGATACTGAATAACAATGACTAGTCTGACTTGAAAGTGAAAAGAATAAATATTCAGAATTATGTTTCTGAACATTGAGTTTGAAGAATTGTTCTTGACATTTTAAGAATAAAATTGAAGGTTGTGTTTCTCTCATAAATCAGAACACAGCCAGGTCCATTAATATTTGGACATTGACAGAATTGTTATCATTTCGGCTCTGTGCACAACCACAATGAGATGAAACTGACGTGGCTCGAGTGCAGACTTTCAGCTTCAATTTGAGGGTAGTTACATCCATAGTAGATAAACACTGCAGCAATTACAACTAAGTGTACACGTGGTTCCCCTTGAAGGGAACACATGTAACTTAATCAGAAATCAAAATTGTCCCTTCTATAATTTGGTTGCAAATCCTTTGCCGTCGATGACAGACTGAAGTGTGATGGATGGATATCAGACGCTGGGTTTCATCCCCGGCCTCTCGGGCCGTTTCCCTTTGGCAAGTGAAGCGCATGTTCAGTCTGCTTGGGGTCACGTCATTGACTTTTGTCACCTGTCCCATCGTCAACAAATATGAAGGGAATATGTATGTCCATTGGTAGCCATAAATGACACCAGCTGCACTGTGGTTCACTGATGGTGTGCTTTGGATCATCGGCAGTTGCTTCCCTTCTTACTCTTCTCTCTCCATCATTCTGGTACATGTGCTTCTCTGTCCCACCTGTCCATGGACGCTACAGTCTTTTTTTATGTGTCTTGGCAGACTATAACCTGGTGTTCCTGCCTTGAGGCACACCAATGATTTACATCTTGTGGTGAACCATCTGTATTTACTCTGGTTCACTTCAAATGAACTGGACCTTTTATCTGCTATTTGTTAATGAAATAACAAGGCGATAACACACACTTGGCAATGGAACAGCTGTTCAGCTGGTCAGTCAATTGCCTGATTACCTTTAGTCCCTATCAAAAAGCGAGCGACCACGGATAGAAGTCTTGTAAATAAAAAAAACCTGAACGTCAGCACTCAAGGCCCATCTTGACTGTTTTGTTTTACAAAACCATTGTGATCGTGTACAGAGCCGATATCCAAATATACATGGACCTAACTGTATCTGTGAATCAGACTGCACCAGATGTTTTCATTCAAGCATCTCTGAACCTGAATTTTGAACAGCCCGAGAAAAGATGGGCAGGCGGTTAGCAGATTACAGTAAATTGTGAGACAACAGCGTGCGCTCAGTGTTGTGCAGGTATCCAGTCTGCAGAGCACGGATGAGATGAGCACACACTCTTATCTCCATGCGTGCTTCTTTGAAAACATGCCCGTGTAGATTTCTTGGTAAGATAGAAAAATATTTTACCTGATACTTTTGATGAACGCTGTGCCTCAGTCATTCTTCTGTTGTCTCATGTTCTGTGTTGCTCACTTGTGGATTGAGGCTCAGATGAGAAAGTCAGTTTTTTCATGTAAAACAAGGTCCAGCTGACAAAGTTGTGGCCACTGATGCTGCGGCTCTTCATCGTGAGAAACAGCCAAAAAGAAAATCAAAAAGCTCCTTGACAGGTTGCAGAATCCACATCCAGAATAGCTTCCATTAGCGTTGTTTTAAAAGTTTTAAAACTACTTAAAGTGCCTTAAAGTCAATAATACTGTCATATTTTCTTTAGCTTGTCTATTAACACTTGGTGAAATAATCACTATTTAATACTTTTTTTCAGTTATGTAAAGACTAAATAACCATGGTTATTCTTTACTATATAATTATATATCTATATACTTTCACTTCATTCAATTGAATGTGTGTCCAAACTTCTGACTGGTAGCCAAATGAAGTAAACTTTTTATTTGGACCCAAATAAAGTATATGTAAATGTCTATTTGTTACCCGTTTGTGACACGAGGCTTCACCTTAGAGCAAAGTGGTGAGCTTCAGCTGCAAATAACAGTTATGCTTATTGGTGTTTGCAAACACTCATAAGATTATTAAAAAATTAACTGCAAATCAGATTATTGAGGTTGAGGTTATTGAATGTCTTATAATTTTAACACCACATATTGTCATCAATTAATGAATGAATGTAAAAATGATCTTCTATGTGGTTAATTAATTCCAAATTAAGGTTAATATTAAATAATGATTAATTCACCATTTATTAATGATGGCCAATGTTACCCTCTAACTTATTATTATAATATTGCAATTGATTAAATCAGAATTAAAATATTTCACACTGAATTCCCTCACTCACCATGTCCACACCACATATGTATATTATGTGAATGCCATGTTTAAAAATGCATAGGCCATCTGCACACTTGTCAGTGCAAACAAACTTTGGCTAGCTGCCCTCCAGTTTGAATCGAGCCAAATTTGTCCGGCACACGGCAGAACTCTTCTTGTGTATTTATATTCCCACGGGGCTTTGCTCCTCGCTGGAGTCTGTGTGTACCATTTTGTGCCTTGACGCTCGGATCAAACTACAGACATTGTAGAAGTCCTTCGGAGCAGCATAAAGGTGAGGTAGATGGCACTTAGATTGCACCTTTTCATTTCATGCTTGATCCGTCATTCTCACTTAGTATGTGTTGGGAAATTTGTGAATTAAAAAGGTTAAAAAGCAGCACACAAGTTAAAAAAGAGGCAATGTTTCGATGTGGAATCGTAAAAAATAAAATAAAATCCAAAGTAAAGCGTGTAGTTAAGACTCTCTCCTTGTGTTAGTCCTTAACAATAATGGGTCATGTGACAGGCACTTCAGCCTCAGCTAGAAAAACACATCAGTCCTCCCACCACAGGGGGAGTCACATCTCTCTACACAGAGCTCTCGTCCGGCCTGGGCAGCAGCTGAGTGTGCTTCCTCTTCTCCAAGATCTTGTTGAGCTCCTCGGCAAAGGAGTAGCAGAGCGGCGACGAGCTCTCTGGCTCGCTCTGCCTCAGCAGCATGTAGCTGTTGCCGTTCATCCTCCGCAGGACGCTGGGCAGCGTGGCCGACAGCCCGCTGGGGAAGTCACACTCGGACAAGGCGTGTTGCGGAGTTGGCGGGAGGGGAGGGGCCGGGGGAGGTGGCCCCTTGTTGGGTGACGAGTGAGCCTCTCCGGGTACGATCTGGAGGAAGCCTCCATCCAGGATGTCGCCGTTGTGCCGCTTCGAAACTCCATTAGAAAGGCCGTTGCCGTTGCAGTGGCTTGAGATGGTCTTCAGCTCCATGTGGGAGGAGCTTCCGTGGGGTTTCCTGCTCCTGCTGTGCTTCTTGCTGTTGGGGTAGGCTGAAGCGGCGGCCCGTAAAGAGTACTTCCCTCCGCTGCCCACTCGCAGGCAGAAGCCCACGTAGACCAGCACCACGGTGAGGACCACACACAGGCTTCCGAGGATGGTGATGAGGGACAGATATATGGCCTCCATGTTCCTGGAGGAGAGTAGCTCTGAGTGGGGGAGGCGAGGTGCCGGGGCCGCTGGCCTCTCGGAGGAGGGATGCTCAGTGGGGGCCGGCAGGGTGGCAAAGAATCTGTAAGGGACCCGAGTTGGCTCAACAGGCGGGGGAGGGGGCAGGTCCGGACGGATGGTGACGTTGAAGGTAACCATGGCAACCTTGATGCCGTTCTCGACAGCGAAGCAGGTGTACAGCCCGCTTTGGTCCTGCCGGGCCTCGATGATCAGCAGGCCGTCCGTGCCGGTTCTGAAGCCGGAGTTGAGGCCGTAGCCCTGCAGCTCGCCGCCGTCCAGAGTCCAGAGGGGCGTCGCCAGGTTTGAGCTGAGCTCGCACTGCAGCAGCACGTCGTCGCCCACCCGCACCGAGCGGCTCCGCACGGCAACGTCTGCAACACAGACACGAATATATAATATTGTCACGTGACTCATTTTACATGGTAATTGCTAAAACCCCTACTTAACTAATCAAAGGCTGTCTAAAGTTATTGAGGCATTAACTCCAGTTCTGTATCTTTTAATCCATGCTATTGTTTTATGTTGTACGGACAGAGGAGAACAAAGGGGCTGAAGATGCTATACATGATCAGATTGACGCTGTGAAGCGAGAAGGCATTTGCCTGTCTTGAATATCAAACAGATTTATCTCCAGAGATGGCGAAAAATGTGATTAAAGAAGGGAAAAGAGGATATTGCCAACGCAGTCGGCATAATCAAATTTCAAAGAGCCCATCATGCCATCTGATGACAACCATGCATCTTTTGAGTCCTTCCGAACATTTTCTATTTTTTATCTCCCTTCCATCTTGAACTTATATTAAGCAGCAGCACCTCGCTGCAGATGAGATGTCTGCGTACCAACTTGTGTGTTTTCACATCCTTTGCTTCCCTGCTGGACGTCCTGGATTAAAGTGGATCTATAAAGAAAGAGAAAAGACAACAATAAGTATATTCCTGCAAAGATTAAACACGCACTACCTGCCAAAGCTAATGGTTGTTAGGTATATTAAGATCTCAATTTTATTGTGTGCTACATTCCGTTCCATATAATGAATGTCCTCCATAACAGCTTTTTACTGAATGAGCAAATCAGTCTAGTTTAATCAGTGCACTCTCAGAACACAGCTGCATGCTCTGTTCGATATCACAGCCGCCTTCACATTTCTGCCAGCGTTGGGGTTACGCAGTAGTTCCTGGGAGTTGACGCAGACAGGGCAGTGCTATTTAAATCAAAAACACACAAAGGCGACCTGCAGAACTTTAATAATCTGATCCCCCCCACACACACACACACCTGTCTGCTTGAGCCATTACAGCCACACACCGGGTTCCATTCCAGGCACAGTGAGGGTCTCTGGCAAAGATGCAGTCGTAGCAGGAGGTGTATCTGTGACAGCTAGAGAGGGGAAGCTGCATCACGCCTGACGGAGAGCTCACATATACACTCATCTGGTGGCGAGAAAGAGGATTCAAATACTGCAGGACGGAGAGATTACTCATTAAATGTGCGTGTGCGCATGTGATGGTCAACCGTGATACCTGTTTTGCTGACAGCAGCAGGTTGCTAACAGGCTGCGGTTTCTCAAACAGCTGGAGCTCCTCGATAATGTGAAGCTGACTGTTGATTTCTACAGCTTTATGTAACCAGCCGTCATCTGAGAGACACACACACACACAAAGACAAAGAGGACAAACATCAGAATTGAAAATACCACAGCAAGCAGCAGCAGGCAGTGCTACAAACGCAGATGAGGTGCATTTCTGTAGCCTAGTCTCCAAAACGAATCACTGTGTTATGGAATTATTTCTTTCCAAATGAAATTGCAAACACTTGAAACGAACGCAGATCTATCTCACCAGATTGCCAACATTTTGAAGCATAAATTAAGCCACGGTCGGTGTTTTTAAGGAGGTTCAGATATGCAAGATGTGAGTTCTCTCATAATCCAAATGCATTTGTGGCAAGAAACAAACCTAATTGAATTGTTCAATTCACATGGTTTCTTTCATATGTTTTGGTCTGGTTGGTTTTGTGTTCTATACATTTATTTGTGTCGTTTATGGAAGTAGAAACCAAACAAGAAGTTGCTACAGGAGATTACAAGTTTGCATTGGAATCACCTGCCGTGATGTTGATGCACAGCTTCTTTAAATCAACCCTTGTTCCAACACTTTCTCTGCCTCGTGCAAGAAAGATCCTTTGCAGACTAAATTGCCTTGGAACATGTTGGACACTGTACTTTTTTGGCAGCATACACTAAAGACTCCTTTAACACATCACATCCTAATAACCATGGACATGTGACTAAAATGATTTTTATCTGAAAGCGATCTAAGGTTCTATATTGTCAAACGCATAAGAAATGTCCTAGTCAGTCACTGAACAATAAATAGTCTATGATATAAACCCTTATAAAAACAAAATTAACGCAGATTTAAGCTAAGCTAACTGTCTCCTGGCGGCCCTGTAGCTTTACCATTGGAGAGCAGACATAAGAGCAGAATATATTTTGTCATTTAACTGTCGACATTCCCCAAATGTTAAATGATTACACCGGACATGAATTCATACGCACCGGTCCCCATGTACAATACATGGTACGTTCTCCCATCTAAGCCGCGCACCGCGGTTACGGCGGCGCGCGTGTAGTCTGTGGTCCGCCTGAACAGAAGTGGTCGTCTGTCCGAAGGTTGGACCTGCCGAGACATCAGCGGATGCCTCCGGACAAAGTTCAGTACATCGTCGGGGAGGGAGGTGGAGAAGTTGATGCCCCGGGCCCTCAGAGAGTCAGTGACACACTGTTGGAAAAGCAGTCAGAGAGAGAGAGAGACGAGAGGAGCGATTGAGACACAAGTCATGAGCCGGGATGTGGGCTGCAGGGAGGAGAGAGACAATTTCGGATCCCTTGTAATAAACTTCTCTGTAAACAGAGACGGATGGCGGACGGCAGGGAGGATGTCACGAGGCTTAGCGAGGCAGTCGGCAGGGAAAAATTAAAAGGATCAAGAAGAAAATGCGAGCCTGTGGAAGATCCTTTCACATGGACGACAATGAGACTGTGTGAGTTCAGCGGGCGACTTGAGCTCTGAGCACCTGACTGAGCGCATTTTAGCGCCAGCCGACGCCTCCAAGAGGCTTTCACGCTCCCAAGTTAAAGCCCTTGACCGCTCTATTTAATAGTGCCATTAGAATTAAGTCCCACAAAGTGTTGTAATGACACCACAGGGGATAATGTCTGCTCCTGCTAACGACGCCACGCCATAGAAATGTGTTTCAGTGACATAATTAGGTTGTGCTTCGATGACCATCTTTCCTTTTTTCTTCTCGATCTTAACTTTGGATAACGTTCTTCGATTGCGTTTTTTCCTGTTGTTCATGTTGTGTTGAGGAGAGAGAGGCCGGCAGTGTCTGTGTGTTTACCGTTCCAGGTCTGGGGTCAGGGATTTTTCCAGTGTACTCCTCCCACTTGGAGCCAGAGTCCTGGTTCTCCATGTATGGTCCTTGAAAGGCCTCTTGGACGTCAGACAGAGAGAATCGACACACAGCAGACGCCTTCACGTTTTTCCTACCAAGAGCAACGCGGACAGAGTGAGAAACGGGCCCGGGGCTCAGGCCCGCCAACAATAACAACAGTAAACCCGCTGTTGCCATAGGGACAGCAGTGGAAGTACAGTAGATCAGTGGTGCACAGGGGAGGGGGGCACTGACACAGATGGAAGGGGGATTCATAGAAGTCATATACATCTCCAGGAAAAGTAGGAGGGGAGGAGGAGGAAAATGCAAAATGCTTTCAAAGAGGTGTAGTAGGAGTTAGAAAGAGGAGAGTGGGAGAGTTGGAGCTCAAAGTGACGCAGCAGCATCACAACAAGGAAAACAACCAAAGACAATCATTGTTTGTTCATGCCCACATGCACCACAAAAACCTTTTGCTTCGGCATAACTAAAAACTAGTTTCTACAAAGGGCCATCGCAGTTAGAACCTTAAAGATGTTCCTGGAAACATACTTCACTGGATACATTTGATGAATTTTAACCCTATAATTTGCTCTCTGCTTTTAAGAAGTCATGTAGGAAGAGTCACAGTATAGAAATTAACAGGTTAACTTATTTTTACTTATTTTTAGACCATCTAAATCTGTGTTTGTAATTAATATTCTCTCCTCAAGCTGCAGTAAAGTCCTCCCACCCAACTCATTTGAATGAAAAAGTTCCCCTCCCTTTCATCTCGTCCCCTCCTGCCTCCTTCGACCTTCTCTATGTATCGATTGCTGCTGCCTTTCATCTTTATCTCACTCTTCGTACATTTGCATCCCTAAAGTCCCTGTAAGCCGGAGATCTTAACACACTTTCGCACTCACCACTCCAGGCCGAAGACTCCGTAGAAGAGCGTGTCCCGAGGAGTCGGGCCAGGCATGACAAACATGCTGCGCAGCATGTTGAAGTGGAAGTCGTACTCGGGCAGAGAACACGTCAGCCTGGCCTTGAGGAAGGACGTCCACCGTTTCTGGAGAGTTAAGCGGCCTCCCCGGTCCCCCTGAGGGAAGGACGGCAAGAGGGAGGACAGGAGAAACAGAGGAGACAGGGGAGAGAGTCATGTGAGGCAAAGCCCTGGAAAAAAATGAAAGATGTGGCTAACTATCGACTCAAGGTGGCACACAAGGGGAACTGAACCCCCCTAAAGACTGGAACAGATGGCATTGGAAAGCAATAACAAAACCGGATTATGGCCTCCCATAGGTACTGTTAGACTCCCCTCTGTATTCTACAGGTTTGTGTGAAAGTGTGTACTTCCCTCCCTTAGCAGACTGCAGCACCCCTGAAGAATGAAAGATTCTTGAGATATTCATATCGCAAAAGCTTGACTCGAGGCCACGGCTCTTTTGGGAACTCAGAAACTGACATCACTCTTTGATCAAGCTTGAAAAAAATGTATTTGTCCTGCGGCAAATTGCAAATGTCACACATGCCGCCACGAGGCATTTTCTATCAAGATTAATAAACAAATATGCTGCCACAACTTCAAGGAGAGAACTGACTTGATTCTGAAGGGGCCACAGGAGAGAACAACAAGGTTATCAAGTTGAACAGCCAGCTCCCATTATTCTTAACTCCCGCCTAGGCGGCAGGACACGTGAATCACTCACCTCGTAGGCAGCGGAGGATGCTAAACAGTCCGTCTGCAGTCATCCATCCCTCGCACTCAGAGGCACAGTGGCGCTGCACTTCCATTCATCAGCTACAAACTCTGCTCCTCTAATCGCGGAAATGCATTCCCCATCCGGCGCCTCATCTATTAGAGCTACCCCTTCTATCATCATCAAAGACTTCACTCCAGCCAGCCTGATGCAATCGCCCTCTCCCGGAATCACATCCTGCACAGTTTAAGTCCACCGTTACCTTACAGACGCGAGCGACTCGTGCCACCCGGCTGTGGCGGTAGGTTGTCGTCTGCTCCGGGCTCTTCTCGGTGAAGAAGTAGTAGATCTTGTCATCGTCGCCGGTGCTGCTGCCCAAACTCTCCCTCACGAGCGCCGAGCCCACAAAGTCTGCCTCTGCACGGGGGGAGGAAGAGATGCACTGACTAATGTACCGTTCTATTTTTTGGATTGAGGCATTAACAAAGAAGCTGTTTTTTGACAACCTAAAAGTAGTGTAATACTCGTTGCACAGCGAGAGGTGTCGCACCAAAACATAAAAGGAAACATCTCAATACTCCCTGTCTCATCTCATTCGACAATAGAAAAGGAGTCGCAATCAAACAGTCAGAACCGAAAGCGAAAACAAACAATAAAACGTGAAGACGAACATATTAATAAACAAATTCCTTCTAGTAGCTTTGTGCGGCTGCGCTTAAGATAACCTACGGATATGACACCAGATAGAACATTTACCATGTTAACAACCTCAGGACATTCATGACAATCCTTCAGAAACGTGTTGAAACATTTTGGGAGAAAATGCGAAACTGAGAGAAAAAGATCCCTTTTCTGGTGACCACAACTGTCTGTACAAAATGTCAAAGCAACCCGTTCAGTCCTTTTCCCTAATCTCAATCCATTAGATGTTTATGTGAAATTGGCAGAATAGGTCCAGACCAAACATGCGAGGTCACAGTGAACTTTGGCCATCAAATAATCAGTCTTTCAACAACAGCTGTCGCCAACTCAAAAGACACACAAATATGATTGTCACTGTAAAACAAAGCTGTAAGGCCTTAAGAACTATTGACTGATGCATTATTGATCAAGCGCTTCTTGAACAGATTAAAGCCGACTGACCCTGAATGGCTTTTGTTATTCCAGGAGATCCACTCACCGTTCAGCCAGCGCGTGGGGGCGTCTTCGGTCTTCAGCGCGGGGGACGGAGAGTTGCGGCGGATATCCGGAAAGCTCCGGAACTCGTACTGGGAAGCCGTGTACATCTGCTGGTCTGGAGGAAAACCAATGAATCAGATCCTTCTGCATTTTAGTAAAACTCTGGAGAAGGTCGACCGGCAACCGTCGAAGGGCTTACCGACGAGGAGGGCAGTGTAGCCCGTCGTCGGGCCGTAGGGGCATTTGTCTCGGCCCTCTTCGGGCTGAGACGACATCACAAACGTCGCCTCATTCTAGACGGGACAAAACATTTGGGTAAAGAGAATAAATTTAGCCTCACATGAAAACCATACATGCAGCATCAGTGAGTCTTACATCTATGGATCATATACCGTTTAGTAAGAAATGAAATATCAAAAAGGATTTAACAAAGGTTTGGTAACGGATTTTGCTTTGACATACTATGTATGCACAGAGGGGGCTGAAGGCATGCGTCCCACACATGTAGAGGTGGGTCGAGTTGAACCTCTGGAGGAAGCGGATGTGATTGAAACACTCCGTCTGGAAGAGGTTGAGAAAGCCAGAGAAGATGTTATGGTGAAGAAACGAGTATCAGTACATAGGAGGGAACCCACTATGAAAAGGAACCGAATGCCTACCTCATTGTCTTTTCCCTTGAGCAGACACTGGTGTTTTTGCTCGGGGGAGGCTTCCCATTCAATCTGATACAAAGCACATATAATACAGTAAGACAGGAAGAGCACAAAGTGGATGGTTCCCCATCACTGACTACAGATCGGACAGCAGGTAAACCAGACTAATTGATGGTTTTACTTTTTTCATATTTCACACCTAAGGAATTTGGACCTCACTGCATCTGTACTCATTGTGTTGCTGAACAGCCCCGTAGCGTTTTAAAGTCTTTTGACACAGCGACGGCTGTAACAGGTGTATTCACAGCAGGAGACGCGGGCGTTGGCTGCGAGGGAGCGTTACGCACGCACACCAGCCCCGCACACGTAATGACAGACCTCAACACTGTATTTACATGAGTAGCAGCTTAACGGCAGGTTGTCACAAACACGGCAGCATGAGGAGGAAAGAGGATTTTCCACTTCCCCGGATGTTTAATGGGACGGAAGCATGCCCGAGTTTAGAACTATACTGTTCTATATGCCATCAAAACACCAGCTGTCACACTTTTCTGGTTTATATCATCACTTGGTCATTGATATATACATATGATATAGGTTTATAATATTATATAGGGAGGTAGTGAGTGTTGATTGATATAATGTCAATGGTAAAATATCTTTGAATGAATAGTGTCAAAAATTTGACATGAAGAGAATTCTAAAGATTATAACTTTTCCATGATGGGAATCATAATCACCAAACTGGAATATGAATTAGAATCAGAATGAACCTCATTTACTCTGTTGAGTCTGTAGGGTTTTAAGTTAAAACTGGCAACACCAGATTGAGGTACACAGATAGTATGCTAATTACTGTATAAATTAGAAACAGCGTCTGAGTTGACATACTCCAATGTGAGGATTATAATAACATGAATTCTGTCGTTCTTTAGTTAGAAAATACAGTAGTTAGTTTTTCACTTTTCTTCCTATTAATGCTAGTGAAGCAATATGCTCCTGTTGTGAAACAGTGAGCCACTGTGCTAAAAGTAATACAACTAAAACACAAAAACAACCACACACAAGGAGCGACATGGGAATAGAGAATAGCTTAGCCTACAAAAAATAGAATATTGTTGCCTCAAAAAATTCCTTGGTTGTGTAACGCAAATACAAGTGGCAGAGATAAAGAGCCAGTGGGGCGCACAACGCGCAGCGACACAGAAACAAAAAGAAACTCACGGTGAGAGCAGAGCTGGCTGAAATGTCAGAGGCATCGAGAGCAAAAACTGCTCCGCGGGCCCCGACGAAGAGACGCTCGCTGTCGGCCTCCAGCAACATGGTGCCGACTGCCGAGGACGGGAAACGTCTGCAGCCCTGCAGAGCTGAGAGGGAAGGATCGGTCGTCAATGAGCAGGACACTTGTAACGCAAAGAACAATAAGCATGACCCAGTCAGTCTTCTTTTAGTTGTATCTGGGTTTAAAAAGAGTCTTTTGTTCACTATCAGTTTGTTTTCTAAAACACTCCATGGAATTATCTGTAACAACAGATTATATAGTCATAATTTAAAATAACAACAATAATAATAATAATAATTTGAATAAAAATGTTTGTTTGTTTTTCCAAACTGCTGTTCCGGAAATTTGCACACTGCCACCTGAATGCCGTTGGAACATTTCACATTCTAAAAGCAAAAGAGTGAGCGTTTTTTCAATCAAAGCTGACAGCATGAGAATAAAGAGAGGAACTGAAATCTATTCATCTCCTGTGATGGATTTCTCTCTGTATGAACGTCAGTGCAAAGCGCCAAGGAGGCCTCGCTCTTCGAATCGGAGGTTCTTTTTTTAGGCTTCGAGAAAAAAAAAAAAAGGATTCTATTAAACTCCATTGTACTCCGGCTCCACAGAAAATCACTTTCAAGGACTCAAAGTTTGTTGCGTTTAGTCAGAAATAAGAAAAATACACACCCACGCACCACAAAATAGGAAATGCAAGATCTCTTATACAAGCTTCTTTTTGCCATCATTTAGGATAGCATTTCTGCCATCAATGTTTATCCTCCGACTTTCCCCTCACTCATTTCTCCGGCTGCAATGTTGAGTAAATGATCCATTAACAGAGAATAAATATATTGTTAATATTGTTATATATTGTTAAATATAAGTCATTCATCAAGCAAAATAGCCATAAAGTTGCTAAAAAAAGAGAAGAAAAAAGGCAAATACATGAACCGACAAACAAAAGTCCTCACAGCATCAGAGGACGTTAAGATCTTTATCAAATATCATCGTCAATAGTTTTCACTCAAAACCACAAATATCAACCTCATGGCGGCGATAGAGGAAGATTCATAAAAGGTTTCTTTAGTGGACCAAAGAAATAAATACGAGCCCTGCTGTTAACACAGATAAAAAATGCCTCAAATTTTGTGGGTTTCGGCATCCCAAACAGTATCCCTGACTAGAGATAAAACTACAATCCCACCATGGACAATAAAAGCCAGGGGATTATGCTTATCCCACACAGCTCTGCTGAGGAAGAAGATAATGAAAAGAGGCCAAACATAACATCAGATTCCAGAGATCCTCTTCTGCTTAATGAGTTTCTGTGGTTTGAGGGCTTCTTGCTTTGTGTGCGGGAACCCCGTCCAGTTCTCAAAGCTATATTGGTATGCATCCGCTTTGACAGGACGAGGCCGTAATGAACGAATACAAACCACTCAGAAAAGACTGTACAGCGCGCACACGCTCAGGTGCCATGTCATGCAAGTTCTAAACCCACGCAGTCTCTCAGGACGCCACTTAGCGGTCAACGGTCACAAGAGCGCGTTACCGCCTCAAGAAGATCTCCACAGTGTCAACAGTGATGTGACATGAAAGATGAACCTACTACTCTATATATATATATATATATATAAAATACACACACCAGCTGGATGGGTTTACAGTAATTACAAGTAATATAAACTTGAAAGCAAGTCACTTTTTAAGCTTGTGGGTGCACAATAGCTGAATACGGCCAAACAGAAGAGTGTGAGACTTCCTGCTTCCTCAAACATTCCACCACAACTCAGAAGACTGCATGGGATATCAGGTCAGCTGCCATTAAGATTCCTCTCAGCTGCTGCAGAACACAATCCACTGCTCACCTCAGCAGCAGCCAGTTCCCATCCCAGACTGCTCCTGGGTGATCAGGTGTCTACTTTCCTCTCAATCATCCGCAGCAGCAGAAAGAAGAGCCCTACCTGCACGGGATTAACAAAACAACAGCTCTGCCTGTGCGATACAAGTGCTTCGTTGTGAAAGAAAACCATGCATTACGGCGGAGGCAACGCCTAAGTTTCCTCAGCGTAATCCGACTATTAGGACACAATGCCTGGCAGCTGGAGCCGTGTAACAGAACACCACCTCGCTGAGAGTGTGACGCAGCGGGGGAAGAGTGTTACGCCAACACATTTTAGCTTCGGCTTACGCGAATTGCGAGAGAAAAGGAGTGTTTAATTCATTTTATCGGGAAGCGGAGAGAGAAAGCCGAGATTGATGTTATTTGCGATCGCTTCGAGGAACCTCAGCTGATCAGCAGTGTTCAGGAACACACACACACACACACACACACCTCAAACCTCAAGGCGACGGCTCTGACAGCCTTAAATTCATTGTCAGGCCTGTTTACGGTCGAGTGTATTCTGACCGACAGGCGGTTCTGAATAAACCAAGTTATATCCACAGACTATAATTCCCCAAATACCTGACAGGTTGAGTGAAGCGAGTGTGCAGAGTGAGATGTTTAGAGGTGTTTTTATTGATTTTAACAACCTGCTGGCTCTCGGTTTTCAGAGCTTTTAGCTTTTAGACTCCTCAAAACTCTGAATTTGTCAAATTAATAACCCTAAACGGCCGTCCCTCCCTTAAATCTTTTTCCCTTTCTTTATAGTAATGTTGTGATGAGGAGGGACGACAGGTGCACGTTTGCATGCGTTTTATTTAACGTTTCCTTCTCCAGGTTGCTAAGAAACAGATTAACTAGATTTAAGATTAAGATTAATTAATAAGACTTCACATCAGCAGGAGAGACACAAAAGAAACAAAGCAGTGTGAAATGCGGAATAAAAATAATTGAAAGAGAGAGTTTAGGTGCAGAGGCAGGGATACGGATGGTAGAGGAGGGGGGTGGAGGAGAGAGTGACGGGGCAGCAGACAAGGAGACCAGTCGTGTAGGAGGACCTGTGGGCAGGCTTGAGCACTAACCAATGATTTACCGGAACTTAAGGATAAAGACATCACCAAAAGGCAAGAAGCCAAGCAAGAGGGGGACCACATAGATAAAGACTGAAACTAGGTGATTTATTGAGAGAGAGAGAGAGAGAGAGAGAGAGAGAGACAAGGAGAAGGACATTGTTCTCTAATGGAGTCAATTTGGCTGCAGGTCGAAATGGAGACAAATGGAGAAAATGTCTTTCACTGATCTATGTATCAACAGATAACAGTACTGTTACACAAACAAACATGCATGCTCACATATGCAGAATGACTGTATACGGCTGCCTTACTCCATACTACAAGAGTTGTCATGGTAACACTGCTTCTAAACTACCCACAGTGGTGTCAGTCCCCCTGGATGCTGTGCATAGATCAAAGTATACGCACTTCACTCATCTGCCTCAATCTCTGCAGCCCCTCGGGCTACACTCACAAGGTACATTCATCTATAAATCACATTTTGGTAAAAGTAAAAAATAAAATAAATGTGCAAAACAGTAGGTGTAAGAATTACTGTAGGCAATCTCCTTTGTGTGCACAAAAATGCGATTGAGTGAGTTTTGACGGAGACGAAATAAAGAAACTGAAAACAAGGTAAAGAAGAAGCAGCCGGAAGAGATTGAGCAATATAAAGAGTTTCTTTCCAGATGGAGATGATCTTTATTTTTTTTTAAACGTTCCTGCTGATCGGAATGTAAAAGCAGTGCATTCATATTTTAGTAATGAGTCATCTTCAGGTACTTAAGAGTTCAAATTTTGACTGTCAAATGATAAAAGAGTGTGAAATTGCCCATTGACAGGAACGTGTCTTTCTTACCGCTGTTCAACACGGTGACGCGTGGAGTCACATCCAGGTCCAGGGGCGTGCTGAACGGGTAGCCGGCTGCTGCACACACACAGCAGCTCAGCAGCAGGAAGCAAAGCGCGGAGGACGGAGCTCCCTGCATCTCCGCTGGGACACAAACACACACCCACACACACACACAGACAGACAAGACACGCACACTCTCCGACCAGGGTGTATACGCATGCAAAGGCACTCACACAAACATGGTCACCCTGGGACTCACAAACACTCACTGGCACACACAGGCAGCCTCTTCCACAGAGCTGTACTGGGAACCCAAGGAACCTGAAAAACAACGCAAGAGATGCAGAAAAACTGTTAATAATCACGTCCAAACTCCAAGAAAGAAAAAGATACATCAGAGGGAAAGTCAAGGAAAGAAGTGACGCTGGTGAATTGAACATATCAAATGAGAAATGAGCTGATGTGGAGGATTTCAGACGGATGACGACAGAGATGGGAAAGAGCAGCAACGTGCAATCGCTCGATAAAATATTGCGGCCGTGTGCGAGCGAGCCGACTCTCCGTCCTGCAAAGTCTGGCGGTGTGCGAGCAGCAGGCTGAACACATGGGGGCAAATGGCCTTAACCAAACAGGTACATGCCGATGTCACAGGCAAACACTTGAGAAGTAAACGCAGACGGGATCGATGAGGTGAAACCAGTTGTGTGTGTGTGTGTGTGTGTGTGTGTGTGTGTGTGTGTGTGTGTGTGTGTGTGTGTGTGTGTGTGTGTGTGTGTGTGTGTGTGTGTGTGTGTGTGTGTGTGTGTGTGTGTGTGTGTGTGTGTGTGTGTGTGTGTGTGTGTGTGTGTGTGTGTGTGTGTGTGTGTGTGTTGGGAATTGAATGTTGTTCCAGCAAGACAAGATGGCTTTTTTTGGAGGAGTGAAGGGAGGGATGTTGAGGAGAGCTTTGTGTGTCCCAATCACATGGACCAGTGCATGTACAACAACACACGCACACGCTCACGCTCACTGCCTCCCACTTAAAATTCCATCTCCGTCTCAGGGGAAAGTTAACATCAAAATGAAATATACACATGTATTTATCCTACATTCAGGGATATTTCTAAACACTAATTGCTGGACAAAGCCGCCCTGGTGAATGATGTCGCGGATCAAAATGTAGACGGTCACTCTCTGCAGTGCTTCCCTTCAACAAAGCACTAGAGAGACAAAGGCTGCCTGTTCACTCTATCACATGCAAACATACATGTATGCACGCACACTGACACACGGAAATACATCACAGAAAACACTCACACTCATGGATGCAAAAAAATGAAGAGGAAAAAAAAAAGAGCAGATAAGTGAAACCATTGGAGCCCGTGGTGACTGCCCTCTCACCGAGAGTCCCTCAGGGCTGACGCCATGACAACAGCTGGCTTACGCGGGGCGTAATGTGACAGACAGACACACACACACACACACACGCGCACGGATCAGAGAGAAACTCTGCTGATATTATTTTAACAGCAGGTAGGAACATAGAGATGAGCAGTCACAAGCTAATGTACTGACTGCACTGATGTTATAACTGGTCATTATACCCACAGGACAGTAACATGCAACACTCTCGTGGACTGCAAGCACTTGTGAGGGTTTATATCATTTTATTCCCAAACAATGTGTGTCAATAGACGGGACCCAAGGGACAAATATAATTGAATGCATGAAGCTCTGGTGTCGCATTGGGTACTTTCATAGTTTTTGTATATATTAAAAAAGGACCTCAGTATTTGTTTTGCAGGTTTAGGCCAAACAAATAAAAAGACTCATTTTCTGCAGCCACCAGTGTCAATAAAATGTAATCTAATTTCTTAGATTACGGTTTGTTACTGAAAGCTGGCTTATTAAAAAGATCTTTGCACAGATTTCATGTGCAGAAGTTTTTGTCATTACGTTTTGGTAGCCTATCGCTCCACATCAGCAGAGCAAAACACAATTGTTGCTGTGGAGGTCACCTGAGGCTCCGACAACCTTTGATGGGCACCATTTAAACAGATGGAAGAATTAAATCGATCAATTAAAGCAAAAAACAGACATGTCAGATTAATCAAACTCTGAAATGCTCTTGGGTGTTTTACTTTCCCAAAACACACTTGCAAGAAACAGTTTGAAAAAACATCCCTGACCATTATTGGGGCAGAAAGGGCGTTTGAGGAGATAAAAGTCAATTCAATCTTCGTGGATTTATTTTAGGTCTCTGCAGAGGGGTTTCTGCCCTGAATTGGGGACAAATCAAATCAACGGCTATAAAAATGTAGGAAAGAAATCTAAATGCTTTTGAAAATGTTATGTGTCTGACTTCTACAGGAGTCAAAATATGCAACCCCTCCTTGACCCCTAAACATCAGGATAACTTCCCAACACAGTGACAACCAGGCTGCTCTTCAGCTTAAAATGAAATGCAGCCATTTAGGGAACATCACTTTTCAACTGGTGTCTACTTTTTGACGTTTTTACAGCTCCATTTTGTTCCCAATACGGCAAATATACCTCGGGGGACACCAAGTACCTCAGCGGGGTGTTTCTCTCTCAGCATGTGCCGTCTCTCCTGAGGCCCATCAAACCCTGTGAAGGTGTGTCGCCCTCCCAGCCTCATCCAAGCTCCCCTGATGAAGACGGCAGACGAGGTGCATGGAGAGAGGCTCTCTGTGGGTCGTTTAGCGAACTCTTGGACACCAAATCGCTCAAAAAAAAAGAAAGAGAGACTGACGGGGGCCTAAACGCTTCAGTCAATCAGTCAACCGGTGGCGTCTCGTAACGCCGAGGGGAGGAGGAGTCTATTCAGATGGGAAAGGTTTCACAGGTGCATGAATAAAAGTCCGTGAGCGAGGAGGGCGAAATGAAAGAGCCAGTAAGTGTGACATCCACGATTCTCTTTCATCTGAAATACAGATTAGTCCAGACTTGCTCAGAGTACCCCGGACCCCCTAAATGCAGACGGCGCTTTCAAATCGTTAATGGGCCACTGAGCCAATCGGTAAAACCTTTTAGAAAAATGTAGAAAAAGAGACACGTAGAAGGGAAACGAGGGCTGGGCCCCGGAGGAGCTTCCGTGTGACCACCTGACCTTTCTAATCGGTCTTCCTCCTGATCTCGCTGCCGCCTCTCGATCCCGCGACCTTCATTTCACAGAGACGGATTTCATCACGCAATTAACAACGCGTCCGTGAACCGGGCCCGAACGGAAGAGATCGGATCACTGCGGCGACGGCTCCATCCACGGACGATTGTCTCAAAAAAGACCCCGAAAACTACTTGGACACGTGCGAGCAAGTGTGCGTGTGAGACAAATGGTAGAAACGATTACAGTCAAAGCCTTTTAGCTGCGTTTCAACTGACAGACAAACGGCTTTAAAAAAGAAACACTCTTGTTTCGCACACAGACAAGAGGAAGCCAAGTGAAGTGAACTCTTGTTCATAGTGCTGCAGCTCTACGCTTTGTGCCGTTCCTCTGTGAGCGGAACACTGGGCTCTATTAACCGACACTGGAGTTATTCTGACAGCGCAACAAAAAGGAGACACAACTGTGTGTATGGGCAGTGTGTCACTGAAATGTCCTTTACTGTCATTTCACTGCTTATTTTAGTCGTTTGTTTGAATCGTTGCTGTGTGGAGTTAACAGCAGAATAAGCGTGGCGCTGGTTTGGAGTCTAAAGTTTAAACTCATGGCCTGTGGGGGAGAGAGGAATTTTAGATCAAACTCATTTGAGGAAAAAGGAGAGGCATAGTCAATCCAGGAAATATTAAATCTGCCTCAGAGGGTTTCACAATCGGGATCTGTACACAGCGCCGCTCTGGCCTTAAACCCTCAATTTGGTGACGAAAATAGCGACGGAGGAAGAATCCCTCTTCCAACAATATTATATTAGTGATGGTCAATATGCACGGACTGAGAACATGTTCACGCTGATATAGATCATTAATAGACTGCTTTCAATACGATGCATGTTGCCAATTGGAGCTGTGCTTGATCTCAGGTTGCCCAAATTATAGGGTGAAGTCATCAACAAGCACAGTTATAAAATCACAACACTTTGAATAGATGAAAACTGTTTAGAGAGAATAGGGAGGAATTGAAATAATCAACAATAGGAAGAGAACATAGAGGGACACGCTCTACATAACAATGAGATAACAGTTTGTTGCATTTGTTCCACACTATCTTGCATTCTTAAAGACTGAAAAGGGTAGATAGGGGAGTGGGGAGGGGGGGTCAGTGTGTTTCGCCATACTAATGATTACATCCCAGTTACAAAGACCATCAGCGTGGAGCGGATATGACCGATCACTCATCTGATCAATCACCTTCAACGGCGCCGCAGTGTGCTGATGGTTTCCTCGTGCAGCACCACAGGCTGAAGCTTTACTTTGAACGTTGACCCCTCCCGGATGGAAAGTCGGTACAGCCGAATGACCCCCCCCCCCCCCCCCCCCTGGGGTGGAACGCAGCGATGCAGGAAAAGGAAGCTGAATGGGTCAACCGGGAATACAGCAATTAGGCAATTTTACACACATTCACGAGGCCCATTCCCGCTTCAGCGGGGGAGAATCTACACCTGTCGGAATAAGCTCGACTCCTCGGAGAAAGATCCAATTAACCGAATAACACGATCGCCTTTTAAAGCCCGTGAAGGGTCCACATCGGACCATGGCATGAAATATGTTTAGGAGATTCAAATGATTCCCCCTTGACGACAGAGAATTAGAACCCAAAGATATCACTGCATGGCCACAGTATAAGAACAAGTGTATAAACTCATAAGGTTTTTTTTCGCGTTGTCTAAGCAGCGTCTGTGAAAAAATTTATTGCGTCTTACCTGAATCATGTACAAATTCCCTCCGGAGAGGAAGATACGAACGTTTCCTGGAGCTGAAGATAAACCAAGTGGACTTTAAACGCCTCTCTCTCCCCCCCTCTCTCTCTCTCTCTCTCTCTCTCTCTCTCTCTCTCTCTCTCTCTCTCTATCACGCAGTAAGCGACGCGCAGTCCTCGCGACTCTCTCCACCCCGTCACAGGTGCGCGCGCCCTCCCTTCCCTCCCCCCTCGACTCTCAACACTTCTCCGGGTTTTTTTTTTCTCTTCCTTTCTCCACTTACCTGTGAATCAGGTACGCCGGACGCTTGTTAACGTGATAGAAATCCGGTTCGCTGTGGCACTTTGATTCGGTGTCACGACGCGCGAGGACAGTGTGCTCGTGTGGGGCAAAGTGGAGGCGACCTGTCCGGTCGATGCCGCATGGTGGCGTCACACCGACACCTGGCGGCCACGGAGGGAGTTACACACATCCAGGTGTGCTGGTTGTCCCCATATTTATTTATTATATTTATTTATTCTTTTGCCTTAAAAAATAACCTTTCCTACGATATAAAGTGCACACTGCAGCTATAGTCTCGCAAAACATATGGGACATACTTTTGTCAGGATAAGTATTTAGTATTAGTATTTGAAAATTGGTAGAATGCTCCAGATGGATGATCATTTTGCTCTGTAACTCTGTAACTAAGCTCTGTAGTGTTTGTCTCTATTTCTATTAAGTTTACTATATACACTCAAAAAGTGAGGTTTGAGTCACATTAACAACTTGTTTCCGATGTCTCCAACTGTCAAAACAATTCCCCTCAAAGATCGATACCAAACAATATACCTAGTACAGGTTAACAGAAGAAAATGTACATTTATTTCATAAACTAAGAAGCCCACCGTAGCCTGTTCTTTGTTATTAAAGTAGTGTTGTGAAACAACTGTCATCACTCTCATTCAGGCATGCAGACCTAATTCCACCTTACGGTCCCAATCTGTCTTCTCGCCTTCCTCTCCTCAGACCCTCGGGTAAACATTTCGTTTTGCATCTCTCGATTGGGTGAGATTCATGGTGCAGCCGATCTCACATCCCAGTGAATATGGATGTTATGTACACAGCAGTTCAACATTTATCGAGGGTGTCAGCGAGGAAAGCCAAATCCGTCACTTTCCCCCGTTACTATACCCAGATAGACCCAAATCCAATAGAATAACATGCCCTGAGGAGATCTAAATGGGACTTTAATCATCATATTGCATAAGATAACGGTATCAACATAGATCAGATATGTATCAGTGTGCATGTACCCTGCAGACCTTAGCACTGCTCATCACAACACAAAGGGCTTTGTGCTGCAGAGATCAATGAGGGCTCTGATTATGACGCGTAGAGAGTCTTTATCAGCACTTTAATCCATTATTAATCTGTGTATCAATTATAAATGCAGTGAGTCGTGTTCAGTGAGCAGTGTTGACGTTATATTCAGACTTTTATCTCATCTCATTGCGTTACAGAAGAGGATTTGTGTCTTAAACTTTCAGCTGCATTAACCCCATAAAACCCACACACAGGGACACAGCAGAGGAACTCCACTGGAGCCTATGGACAAAGAAGTATTGCTGTGGCTGGTTACCATGGGAACAGAGGTACCTGGAAAAAGTGGTGGCTTCACGTGACGACATACAATAGCTTGTGGATGCATCGAAGGCTGCAGCACTTCTTTGTCTCTCCCAGCGTGTGCTGGAAGGGTCCATCTCCACACAAGACATTTTAAAGCAGTCAGTAGAAATTCTAGCCACATTTAAATGTATATACATTTCTTGTACAGGAATGTAGATCTAAACTGATGGTTTGAGAGAAGCTGATCTTACACAAGATGGTGATCATGGTAAACGTTGCAGCCAGTTTGTTGGTGCACCACTAAAATATCCCAGAGGATGAATCCTGCTGACTTATAGCGTTCTAAAGCATTGAGCTCAATAGACCATTGTGCCAAGACGAGGGTATCCATGTTCCCAGGGTACTTTGTTGCCGAGTTCAAAATGTAAATTAGCAAATAGAGCCAGCGAATATGTTGTGCCTTATGGAGCTGGGGAACTGGCATGTTCTCAAGTTATTTAAAATACACTTATTTTAACCCAAACCACGATTTATTCTTATAGTTTTGGTGCCTGAAAGCTAATGTGACACGAAGGGATCCTGAGCAAGTGTCTGCAGAGTGAGGAGTTGGGAATGAGAAGGGGGAGGGAACAAGGCCACGGGAGAGCGTACATGTACGTGCACATTTTGGATATTTGGAGTCATGTGTCCAGCAGAGGGCAGCAATGATTGTGGGACAAATACAAAATAGTTCTGCTTACCTTTATCTCAATGAGAAAACTGGGTCTGTATTTGTGTTCAAGCAATACGTAGAAACTTAGTACAAAGTATTTTATTGTAAATTCTTGAAATACTACAATATATTTGTGATTATAGTACGGACATAAAGGGCTAAAAGAAATAAGTAACAAAAATAAATACATCTGCAATGACAGATAAGTGATGGGTTGAGAAGTTCCCTCTTTTTTTCTTTATTTAACTTGAGAAAAATCGATCCTGACTAGGATTTAGCATCATCTTTGCTTACTGATCATTACAAATAGCCATAAAATGGTTGTAATAAAATATTATTTTTCATACTGCATGACATCTCCTTCCTGGTGGAAGGGTTTCTAAAAGAGGTTGAAAGTCAATTTTCATTGCAATATAATTCTTACAGTAACGTTTCACTAGTTTTTATGACGGATATACATGTATACACACTGTCTATGGCATCCCAAACACAATGCATGAAAGCAGAAGGGCTTTCTGGGTATCATTGAATCAACAGCAATCGATCAATCAAAAGCTTCATCGAATCATCTCATTTTCCTTTTGTTGAGTCAGAACGGCGATGGTCACAACGGTAACTTTACGCCTGCAGTGGTGTAATAAAGAGGCGCACAAAACAGATGACGACAGGGGTCCCAACGATTGTCATGGTAACAGAGTATTCTTAAAAGCATCTTCATCATCCACTTGTTCACCTTATGCAATGTAGACCCCCCCAAAGAAGTTTTTAAAAGACTATTCAAAAGTGTAAAAATGTCTCGCAATAAGAATGCCGCTCGATCCAATGATATTCCAACATTTGTGTCTCTGTCAGTTAAGAAATACTTTCATATTCTCATTACATAGACATGAAAAACAGTGGAATAAAGGAAAACAGTCTCAATACTGTCTTTAAGTACATAGTACACAGTGTAGCCTGGAAAAATAAGTGAAGGAGAATCCCTCAGTCGTAGATACAGAAAAAAAGTGCTAACAAGAGTTCATAGTTGATCCTTCATATTGTTTGGTGTGTCTCCGTCTCTTCATTGTAGTGGTGTCTTTCTCTTCCTTGGTCCATTAAAGCCTGTGTGTGTCGTGTGTGCATGTATCTGTGTGTGCACATGTGTGTGTCTGATGGTGTTTTGGAGAGTTGTGGCACACTGGAAATGCGCATCGCTTCAAGCCAGGGTTCTCTGTCTTGGCTTTATTCGGGGATAGAGCTGTTGATGGAGACAAGAAGACATGTTAACAATGCACATCTGTACATGAAATATTAAAAATCAAACGTTCAGACTCATGACTCACCCCTAGCAGGTTGCGCGGAATGTACCCCTCAGTGTCCCCCATGCGCGCCCACCACCATTCTATCTCGTCCTCGTCCTCCCTTCGGACGATGGTCATGCAGTCTCCCTCGCGGAACACCAGTTCATCAGGGTTTACCCCGTTGTAGTCCCACAGGCCGTAGACCACGCCCCTGTTCATGATGCCCATCTTCTCTTGCACACCTTCGGATAGACAGATTAACAGAACAAAAAAAAAGTCATTACCACAAAGGGGACATAGACACGTGCCAGAATTCAAAATTAAAATGGTTCAAAGAACAAAGATCGAAACAACAACCAAAAAAATAAGGAAAAATAACATTGTACTTTAACTGACCATAGAGGAACTGGGAGCACTGGGTGTAGCCCTCCTCCATCTCTTCACATTTATCAGCCGCCGTTTGCATGTCACTGTAAGTCATAGCAAACACTGCAGCACCAGACTCCACCAGGAACTTGCACACTTGCACATTGTTACAAGAGGCAGCACAGTGGAGAGGTGTCCTATTTTAGAGGGTGGGTGAGAAAAGGAACAGAAAAGAGGTTAAGAACAGAGGATACAGAGTATAATGAGACACATAAACCACTAAAGACTAGGACTGGAGATATTGACAATCATTTCATTCGGTGATTTTGTACAGTTTATTCAGGTGTGTTAACCGGCTCACACGGTCAGTCGAGGAAAAACATCAGCGTGTAGACAAAAGCTAAAAGTCCAGACTCACCAGCCGTCACTGTCAGCAGCGTTGACATTGACACCAAACTGAACCAGAAACTTGACGATCTCCGTGTGTCCGGCACAGACCGCATTGTGTAGGGCGGTGATTCCTTCATCGTTGGGAAGACTGGGGTCTTCTACCTGTGAATCACAAATGACAGGAATTTCACTGTAAGACAAGCAAATTGTGATCAAATCGATTTTAAACATTATGAATCATGGTGCAACCCAGAGCAGAGGTTACTTGCGGAGAACATGTCTTACTTCATAGATGATTCTCTGGACCAGGTCGAACTCTCCCTCCAGAGACGAGTCCAGCAGCAGAGCCAGAGGGTTGAACTTCACTCTCATGCTGTGATCGATGCGCTCAGAGCCCAGCTTGCGCAAATTGGTCCTCTTTCCCTGAAGACACGATCATAACGGCGCATCACACAAACGATCGCTCACAACACGGTGACATGAGAAAATCTAAGACGTGTGTCCTGCTCCAGTGCTAGCGTCCTCTCTCTGATGGGTTAATCTGGACTGAGAGCAGAGGAGGAACTTGTTTTTCTAAGTGCATTGCTAATCCAGTTTATCCAGAAGCAAACGTATTCCTCTAAAACCATGATTATGAAACTAAACGGGTCTTAAAAGGAGGTGCGAAAAGGAGGGAATGGAGGAGGGGCTCATTTCTTATTGGTTTGTCCTTTTGGTGTAAAACCTGCCACCACCACTGAAGGAGTTTCACTAGCAGCTTAACAAGTGTTTATTTTTAACACAGAATGGGGGCGGGTATCCGCTTAGTGTAAGCACAATATGGCCCATTTTCTCCAGAAACAAAAGCAGTACTTGATGAGGATTATCCAATTATATAACACCAGACAAGGTCGCTGCTGTGAACTAGGGGGTCATTAAAAAGTTGAATATGTATAAACTGTAACTCATGACCCGTGCTTGTGCTACTAACAAACAAACATGTGAGGGGATTTTAAGAAACACACGTAGTACAACAGCGCACTAATAATCTGTACTGTAGACTAAGACTACGGAGGGCCGCGTGGTTTACAGTTGGGATTCATACCGGGGGCAGCGTGACCTGACCGGTGACCTCGGGCGCCTTCATGTTAAAGGTGTCCTCTCCCAAGCTCTCTTGCTCTGCCCCACTGGGGTAGGGGGGTGGTGGGTAGGGGGGGAACTCCTCCAGGAAGCTTTCTGGTGGTGGAGGGGGCAGGATGGCCATTGCGTCCTCCAAGCCGGCCAGGGGTGGCGGCGGGAAAAGGGCATCATCCGGCCTGGGGGCCGGGTGGGACGGGGGAGGAGGGGGGATGATGTCCTCGCTCTCGCGTATGGCCGATGCGGGTTTGGGCTGTTCGGCGGGGCCCGGGGCGGGGACTTTGGGGCCCGGGACATGAGACAGGGGCGGGCCTCCCTCCGTAGTCTGTCCCGCCTCTGCCGGGTGGTTCTCTGCACCACTCAGCTGGCTCGGGACGTGTTGCCTCGAGGATCCCTCCGTGGCGGTCTCTGCTTCACCGGCGTAGGGTGAAGTGGTTGGTGTAGTCACGGTCTCCATGGCTGCCAGTGTGGTCTTCTGGTAGAGGAGTTTTTGAATGTTGGGCCCCGCGGGACCCTCTGGTTCAGTGATGGAGCTGCGTTTCTTCAAGGGCCTTGGAGCATTGTAGAGCTTCTTCCTCAAGGCCTCCAGGTCGCCATCACTCTGATGCCTGTAGGGATTGGAAATGAATGGAAGCAGCTTGGTGGGGCTCAGGGGCCGGGGGATGCGTTCCGTTTCTGTTTGGGGACCCTCAGAGGGGCCGGGCCCCACGTTGTTGGGCACACTGTTGTCGACCTCGGATTCAAAGCCGGGGGAGCGCCGGTCCATGTAAGGGTTCTCTGGGTGTACGGCGCCTCCACCGGGGATCACTGGTTTACCATACACTACAAACAAGGAGAGGAAACAAGTGTCACGACGCAGAACTCACACTCAGGACCGACTGCCACTGCTACTGCGGGCCAAGTGAGGCAAAGGGTATCAAAGAGTATCACAGCGGGATAATTATAATACAGATTCTCATTACCACAGCAGTAAAATCTTGATAACAAAATGAAAGTCATCTTCCTAATTAATTGTTAGCTTCTATCGTTATATTTAGATTTTATTCCCTCTACTTTTACAATCCTCAGTTTTCACTGCATCTCTGTCAGGAGGGTGTCATAAACGACTTTCCAAAATACATTTTAATTTCAATAATAATAAGAGTTAGCATGGATTACAGGAAAATCCTCAGAACAGACAAACACGTGTTCCTTTTAAATTACACAACTGCAGTCAGAAGCTGGTGGTACGTTGGCTTGCGATGCCGTTTGTAGCGTGAAGATCTAACAGATGGCTTAGCCTCTCTGGCTGCTCCTTCGGTCAGTGGCGTGTGAATATTTCCTTCCAGGCATCTGGGTAGATTTACCGTAAAAAGAATATCTCTCAAGTGGCAGAAGACAGTGCTTTTTCTGTCTTTCTTGTAACGTCACACTTAGCCACTATTGGAGATGGAGATGACATGAAGATTTATGTCCAATTCAAAGTATGCCGCTCCACGTCTCCCCGTAATCCAAATACACTTTGTAAAGAAGAATGACCCCAATAATCTGTCAACTCAACCCTAATGTTCGAGAGCTGAATTGAAAAATGTTATAACTAAATATTCTTACCACTGACAAAGCCATTGGTGCGGCTCTGGGACCTGTTGAGCGTTCCCTGCAGACCCGGCTGGTGGAAGGGCTTCGCTGAGCCAGCCTGCTGGGTGTACATGGAGTAAATGGAGCTGGCCGCAACGGTCTGGGGCTTGCTCATGCTGGCGTCTTTGGAGGAGGGCAGCTCTGGGGTGAAGGGCCGAACGGTGGCTGCGGGTGGAGTGTCCTGCTTGGAGGGCAAGGGGAGTGTCTGGCTCTGTGAGGGCGGGAGAGGGCCGCGGCCCTGTGGAGCCTGGGGCTGCTGGCTTTGGGGCTTGGTTTTGGGGAAGGTGCCCGTGTTGAGACCCGGTTTTCCGTAGGGCACGATACCAGGGCCTTTTGGTTTGGTGGGAACGGGAGGAGGCACCTTGACTGGAGCTTTGGGAGCAGCCTAGAGAAAGCGAGAGAGAATTAAATGCAATGATGTACCAGTGTTGGTAATTACCTAATTGGATTGGTTTTTTTGACCGTGAGGGTGTAAAGAAAATGTTTCAATTGCCTCTCACCTGAGCGTCCCTGACCAGGTCATCACTGCTCTGGTTTTTGCGGAGGGAAGCGGCGGGAACCTCCGTTGGCTCAAACATGGAAAATGGGCGAACCTTCCTGTCTCTCTTCGGTTCAGTTTCATCTGTGTAAAAACAGCGATGAGTTCCGTCTTGTGTTCTGACGCAGTGTTACTTGATATTACAACAGAAACCTCTTTAGCGGCTGTTGTTCTGTCACGTTACTGTTGCTTCCGCTCCAGCAAGGATTTGTAGTGCAGCACCTCTTGAGAGGCTGTGTATGCGTTTATATGTGTGTGTCTTACCTTGTTCTGCGTTAGAGTTGGAGTGAGATGTCATTCGTGGCAGCGTTGAAGACGGAGCATGACCGTTGGATTCTGGACCTGGAGAGGCCCAGTCTGCCAGCTTGGACGGCTGAAGGCCTGCGGGACCGGCAGGAGAGGCAGAGAATTAAAACGTTGGTATGAAAAACCATCCTAAATGTGCAGTACACCAATTGGAAACTAGTTTCAGTCATTATTTATCCAGATGAACAAACGTTAAAAAGCTCAGCGTTAAAGGGGAACACAGAGTAAACAATGACGGAGGTTTTGTGGGGTTTTTTTGTTCTGGGAATTTTTAAACATTTTTCTCGTTACTCATCATTTTCTGTTTTGGTTGACTGACTCAAGACCCAGCCAGTGGCCATGCATGTCTGCACACATCCACAGTCAGATGAGTTATAAAAGCATGGGGCTCCTGCAAATAGCGAGATTAGCATCACATCCAAGATGTAAAAAAATGCTGATTTTCATCACATTGCCTGAAGACTGTAGTTAAATTTCCCCTCTCGAGAGGTGTTGTAAAAATACAACAAAACTCTCTCTCACACACACACACACACTTTGGAAACAAGACCTGATTGGGTTGGTCAGAATCCACACAGAATGTCAGTTCAACTGAAGGTTATGCATTTGTTCCAACTGACCCATTTAGAGCGGCAGGGAGAGAACGGAGGGGAGCGCTAAACAAACGCGCTTTAACACACAGCAGCAAAACAAGGAAACAGCAATAAAGATCTATAAATATCTCGTCTTTTTCAGTAAGAATCACTCAAGGAAAATAAACACAAAGCCTTTGAGAAGCAGACAGCCACAAACACAAGTGTGTACCTTTTCTCTTAGCCCGCAGCTCTTTCAGAGGCTTAAGCAAGAACATGGCTTCTGAGGAAGATGCATTCAAAAAGAAAAGACAAAAAGTAGCCTTAGCTCCAAAATCTTCAGCTGCAGCTGTTGGCTGGGCCCAGGCAGGGGGCCCCCAGAGGGGCCACGCAGAGACCAGCTCAACCCCAAGGGAGGGAGCCTGCCTGATGCTGTGCACAGCGTCCCTTCTAGAGAAGATGCAGGAATGGGTGTATGCAAGGAGCAGATTCCTCCGCATCTGTGCCCATCCCATCTCTCTCCTCCCCGAACTGCAAGTCAACTCAGCATGCAGAAATATGTGCGTGCAACATCATGACAGACTGAGAAAAACCTGTTACTTTTACTTCCTGAATGCAGAATGCTTTAAATAGAATAAATATGGAGTGATGGGTGTGCGAGAGAGGGAATAAGGAAGGGAGGATTCTGCTGTTGTTGTTCTTGTGTAATGACTCATGTTGTTGTTGGATCATTCATTTTTAATAACATAGAGCAAACTGCCAGGCCACTATCTACAGGGGGACGGATTTAGGTCTAAGAGAGTGAGACTAGAGAGGGAGCGTGAGAGAAAAGTACGAGAGTGGCACATCGGTTCGTCATTGGTTTGGGCAGACTTTTGTTCCACTACATTACACAGCACACATGCTACTTCAGTCTGAAGGAAAACAACGGCTGGTGTAACAATGGCGCATTTTGTTCCGTCCGTCAAACCTCGATTTAGAGAAGAGTGGCACAAACAAACACACACGGGGCTCAAAAGCTGGTTCACTCATTGCAAAACATATCATAGAAAGATGTACGGAGACTGGAAGACCGTTCAAAGTTCAGGCTCAGCGATACTCAGAATCAACACACCATCCACGAGGTACCTAGATACCTTCTGAGCTCAGTTTGACATCACAACCAGCTGGTGTCCCAGACTCCTCTGCTCCTGATGGAGGCATGACAGTCCCGCAATTAAATGAGTCACATTTCAATAAAAATAACAACAAATTCCACGGTGTCTTTCTCCATACACATTTCTCTGATATCTTCCTTTTCTCTGATGTGATATCTTTTTATCATGCTGCTGCTGACTCAGCAATAGCACAAAATAAAGAGATGACATGTCTAAAGACAGAAGGGATAAGGCGAAGGATCGCCATGGCCCTAAATGAGAAGAGGTTAAAGGGTGCAGACAATGTGTCGTCTCTGGCTTATCACCTGTGCCGGCCTTGCTCTGTGGCTCTGTGGCTGGAAGGGTGGCGGTGCCGTCTGGGTGGGCCGGCTTCACTAGCAGGTCGTGTCTCACTGGGCCCCTGGGCATGGTGGACGACTGGATGTACGGGCCGACCGCCGCCACACGAGACGGACCTGACTGCGGTCCGGCTTGACCATCAGAGGGAACCTACGCAGTGAGAGGGGTAAAGGTCAGCGAGGGGAAACATGTTAAATTGCGTTAGAGAGACAGGAGAAGAGAAAGAAAACAATATTTAGACACAGGGACCAACACTATCTGATGTTTAAAACTGTTGTTAATGTCGAGGCACTATTAAAATAAATCTAGATCTGAGGCCTTGATATTAATTACAGGACAAAGAAAAGAAAATGTTTGCAAAAATGGTGAGAGAACTTGTTATTCTGAGGTTCTGAGATAGAAATATAAACTTTGGTCTGGGAGTAGCGCCACAGCGGAACAATGTGGTTACTCAACTCAAAGGGATTTATTCTTTTTTTAAGTTTTTAATTTTTCTAACCTGTGGGTGGCGCTAGACGAATGGGCATAACAGTGATACAGCTAATGAAGTCTGGCAAAGGGGGAAATTTAGACCTGCTGGCCAGGTGTGATGATGGGTCTAGAAAGGCAACAATATAATCTAGACAGTAATGGCCGTGTTTTACTGAGACTAAAAGGTTGGAACTACTGACAGACATCACCATCCCTGCCTCAAACATCTTTATTTAGGTTTCTAAGCAGTTGCTCGGTTTAATTTATTGAATAATCGTATTGCTTTAAGGAAATGCATGGACTACTGCGGCTGACGTTGACAGAGTAAGCTAACCCAGATGTATAAATTATTCATACATTACATTATATTAGCATGACGCTTTTGAAAATCGTGCAGGGATTCTAAATCAGCTAAGATAGGAGCGGGTTCTCCAACAAAAAGAAAATGTCATCCCTGACAATACAATCTCTTCAATGTCGTCATAATCAGAGGCTTAAATAGAGACAAAGTCAGGACAGGAACTTTGTCAGAGATACAACACCCCACATGTATATGCCTAAATGCTTTTTAAACCCAACACACACTTTAAACTTGGGTTAAGCAAGTTAAAACAGCACAACTCAACAAAAACATATCCTACCGCTAACATTATTGCCATTATGACAAGCTGTCCCTTTAAAACAAGATGAACGTCGTTCACGTTGCCCATCAAGGGTCTGAAGCAGAAAAATAACTGATAATAAATCGCCAAATTGTAGCAAAGAGATCCAGTGGAAAAGAAAAGAGACACATATGATCGGCCTACATTGTAGTTCAGTTACCTGAAGATGAGTGTCTTTTGCAGCCCTCTCTTTACCAGGATAGCCATTCTTGAAAATAAAAACACAAACACAAACATTCAACAAAAGTTCAAGTCAGAGAATAATCCCCCATTTCCAATCTAATACGAGCATCGTTTCCTAGCATCTCCTGAACCGTGTCACTCTGAGGCGGTGCAGGATCGCCTCAAGCCGCTAAGAACGACCTCTGGTGATGTCAACCAGACGCTCGCTCTCCGGTCGGCGGAGAGAGCAGCTTGGATGGAGTGCGTCTTTGTGCTGGTGTGAAAAAGGCCCTCTCATTATGATTCCAGGCAGGGTGTGGGGGTAAATCACCTCCTCACTAGGGCCTATTCAGGCCTTCATCTGTGAACTACACACACACGCACTTCTCTACTCTGTTCTTACTTTATTATGAAGGCACATCGAAAGAGAAGTTGGTCTTCTTTAAAGTTGGATTAGGTGTGCAAGTGTGCTACTTTATGTAACAGGCTTGAAGCGGAGCTTCAGGAGTATTTATTAAATATCCATTAAAACATTTATTATTCATGATTTAACTTAGAGGTCCCGTAGGATCTTGTATACTGCATTTGCTAGGAAAACAACACGGAGAAAAGAATCTGTGCTGAAAGCAAACAGCTTAGAGATTTCCTCTGCAAAATGATGAATCAGCATCATATCATTAAAAACAGTCTTTGAGGTTATTGGATTGAAAGTTAATTTGGTTGAAAGACAGAAGGTTAATGGTTATGGCCAATTAAACACCGTAATCATGTCTGAGAGGAAGTCGACCCCCTCAGGAGCACAAAGAAAGAGTTCATAATTAAAGAAATGACTGCACAGAGGACAAAGTAAAGTGAGATGAGTTAATAAATAAATAAATAAATAAAAAAACATGAATTCATCCAATCAGAATGATTATGTTTCTTTTTAGGCCACCTTTACAGATTTGCTGTCCCTACACCAACTTCCTCAAGAAGTTAATGTGCAAATTAGTCTTCCACGCAAGTCTGTTTATTCTTTTTAACGGTCCCATGGCAACCTGTGTTCAAAACAACTCCTGGAGACGGGTAGAGAGGAGACACCAGGCAGCAAACTCTGAGCCAAAGCCTCAACAACATTTACAGCTGCTTCAAAGACAAGGGCTTACGTCTACATTGTATTGAACCCTGCTTTATGTATTTAATATCAAATCTGTTATGAAAAGCCAGCGGTCTTCAGTAAGACGGTGAATTGTTATTGGCGGTTTCCTGTGTCGGTGGAGCCAAATAAGATAGCATCTCTGCTGACATTCCTGCCCATCTCAGATTGCCAGCGTGCACTCATTACTTATCTCCCTCTACTTCAGAAGTTGTTTCTGCCGACGGGACTGAAACAAAGCCGAGTGAACAAGCGGGAGCATAAACTCCGATGCAGCCCTGTGACGTGACCAAAACTAGGATCAATCACCACCAGCTATCTCGGAGAGCGGTATGAAAGAATGGAAAACAGACTGATAGGAGTGGACTCCTTTGACAGAGAGGGAAGGTGGGGGGTTGCTTGTTTTTCCCCCACACAGAAGATAGCTTACGTTGGTATGGGCGAGCTCTGAATGCTGGGGAATCTGAGGCTTCAGGATGTAAAGAGAAACACAGACATCTTTTTTTATTATCTGGCCACTAGGAGGAGCTCTGATCAAAAGCAATGTCCATCACTTTTTTGCATAACAATCAAAGCTAAATGAACAATGTTTGCAAAATACGAGATGACACACGAGGGGGTTCTGTATTAGGTTATGGGTATATTGTTTCATGCTGTTGTGCCGCAGTAACACTCACAGGCAAGTTCTCTTTTTGCTGCAGCGCTGCCTTCTTCTTCCACAACCGATCCCGGAGCTCACTGATCCGTTTGTCCATCGCAGCCACCTCCATGTTGCGTTTGTTCAGGCCCTCCCTCTGCTGCTGTAACTTAGAGTTTTGGTCCTGGTTGAGCTTATTCCTCAGCTGGCAGTCGAGAAGGACAAGAAACGAACATATGTTAGTTTGTGTTGATTGAAAACCACCTTTGGAGCTCCATTATATTTGGGCGAGATTTAATTGTATGAATTAATTTAGTCTGTTTAGTCTATTATTCTCTGCACACCTGCAGCTCCTTATAGAGTCGGTCCAGCTCAGCCACAGAGCTCTGGTTGTCATGAAAGTTTTCCATTTTTCCAGTTTTGAGCAACTCCAGTTGACGGCCAAGTTCCTCCACCTTAGAAGCAGCCATCACAAGCTCTCTCTGCTTCTGCTGGAACAGGTTGTTCATCTGCTCTATCTCTTCCACTGAGGGAGAGGCATGACGACGAGAGGAAGGTGGAGAGACAATATGTGAAGATGATGGAGGCAGCGAGGGGAGAGAAACAATATCATGGAGGCAAGAAAGACAAAAACATTGTGTCTTAATTGATTCAAATCAAATCTTGCATCAAATCATCCGTTACTCGTTTAGAAAAACAATCTGTTAGTCCGCTAGCTTACCCAGTTTGCCATTGCTGAGGCGTTTCTGCTCCACCTGGCCCTTGAGGGCCCGGACCTTTTTGAGCCGGGTCTCCTGGTTCTCAATGTTCTCTCGGAGGCGCTGCAGCTTTTCCTGCTCGGAGGCTTGCTGCTGCTGCCGCTGCTCCTGCTGCTTCAGGTAGCGCAGCCGCTGCTCCTGGAGACGAACGAGCGGGAAAAGGGAGCAAAGGTCAGAAACATTCGAAATCAGACACATCCCTGTTAACGTTCACTTAAGAGTCATCCGTGGCCGAATATCCCTGAACGGCTACGGCCGCGTGTCCTCATGTAAAGCACCGAACCACATCTGTACTTGGATGTTTGGAGCTAGCTGTAAAAGGGCTGGTGTATAACACGACTGCCCTGCGACTCCTGTAGGCTATTATCAACGCATTCCTTTATAGGTTAAAGAAGGGCTACATTCAGTGGAGGTAAACAGCGTTCAACATTAAGAAACTAAAATTTGATGTATGCTATATACCTGGCCTAGCTCACCCAAACAGGTTTGAAGATAGAAATGGAGAACTGTACCAGCTGATGTGTGTTAAGACCTTGTTTGTTTGCCTGACTTCTAAGAGAGACTTCGAAGTGTACGGATTGCTCAAAGCTACATTCCTTGGCCTGCCAAATCCATCACTCTCAGGCACAAGTTGATGAGGCAGGTTGCAACACATTCAAGAATGTGCAATGAAACTAAAGTGAAAGACAAGTTATTTTTTAACTTATCTTAATACAGTGCGTATGCGTGGGCAGAACCGAAACCTGTTTACGTGCCTCAGCAAAAACGAAAAACATGCATTGGAAGAAAAATGAGGGGGCTAGCATTTCATTATATCATTCCTGTTTTCTGTAAAATGGCTTTCCCACAGCCACCACAAAATCCTGAGCAAAATGAGTCCCTAACAAAACAAAAACATTGGCTCTTGAATATGAGATAAGTCTTGCAGAGTGAGAGTCGAAGGCAGGCGGATGTCTCCGACGTCTCAAATTAAAAGTACTACACCTGCAGCCATCCACGACTCATCCAACCCGTCTACCACAAACACGCCCTGTGCTTCCCCAAGTGCACTACACTTGTTTTAGAACCTTTGTTTTAAATACCATCTACCCACTTTCTCCTAATTACCCGCGCTTTAATCTTGCACTATCATTGTGTTCCTCCTCTGGCTTTCATCTCCCCCCAATTTAAACCTCTCCATCCCCCGAATCCACCAATCTCTCCCATCAGGCCTCGTCTCACCCCTTTCATCCTTCCCTCTGGCTTAACTCACCTTGGAAGCGAGGAGCTGCTGCTGCGTTTCTATTTGCTGCTGCTGTCTGGCAGCCATGTCTTGTAGTTCGGCCAGCGTCATGTCCATCCGGGGGGTCGCCACCTGGGCAGAGGCACAATCCATTTAGAGTCATTCAAGGTTGAATCAAAGACCGCAAGAGCAGTACTGATGTCAGAAAACATAAAAACCCACGAGGGTTGATAAGTGGAGCAATCCCGTTTTGTCAAGGCACTTGAACAGTCTTGTTGATGTTGTGATGAACTGATTATGAATATTTCATTTGCATTCACACACTGCAGGGACTTTTTTTTAATTGAATTAATTAGTACCCTTTAGAAAAAACAAAGTTTGCTCCTTGTTCAGAACAAAGAAACAAAACAAGCCACAGAATTCATGTTAATAACAAAGTCTGTGAACCACATGAAAGGAATACAAATTTAAATGAAACATATTGGTGAAGAAAACATCTTCATGAGGCAACGAGTAAAGGAAGCTGTTCTACAATTTGAATAATATAGCAATGATGTGCAGTAACAACTCAATAAAAAACTGTAAATGAGTTCCAACACATGTGTTGCTCTTCCTCAATTAAGAATAAACCAGTACGACTTAATGTGCTCAGAGTGTGTTTTGAATAGTCTAAAAATAAGACACAGAAACTCACCCCGTTCTCCATTCTTCTCTCTGGAGGACCCTTCACTCCATTCCTCTTCTGCTCCGAGGCTCTCGACCCACCTGTGTAACCAATTCAAAGAAAATCTTAATCAGACATCACAACACTGTGGGGCTTCATCCAAGCTGACGGGCTCAGTTTAGTCCAAACCAAGACAGGTCAAACCGAGCAAACGATCAGCCGTTTGCACACAACTGTGAAAAAGGACTTCACCGTGCTTTTTGTCTTTTTCCTGTCGCTAACTAACATGGGCACGAACTGTGCGGATTTATCTGGACTTGCTGGAGAGTAGATTGTAGATCAGTAGACAGCCAAACAGGCTGGCTGGTGCCGAGCGATCCGAGCTGCTCTGGGAAACAACTGGGATCAGTGTTCTTTGTGACTTGCAGTAATCTCAGGATTTAACCAAATACATAATCGTCCGGCGGTAGGTTCCACAACTCGATGTGTACGTGCCTGTCTGTGTACACAAATACACGTTTATCCTCCAACGCTACTGCCATTTGACAGCTAAGAGGACGGGTCTGGCAATGCAGATCCTTTTCCTAAAGCCTCGGCCCATGACCAAAGCCCTTTAGCTTGCATAATGGTTTTAGATGACCCTTGACATACAGGACGCATGTTAAATACATGCACTGGCTCGTGTTAGCGCCGTGGCTCAACAAGTGTCATTGAGTGTGAGGTTACTTAGCAGGCTCACTCCGGCGGCGGATACAGTTGGCTCGCTGTGCTGGTGAGAAAGAACAGACCTGCATAACAGCAGGACGTGTGAACCGCAAACTGATCGGTTCTATCTGCAGAGCTGAGAACAGCACAACATTGTTGCCATAAATAATACTAAACAGCACAGAAACAGGAGACCACGTCAACAACATCCTCTGTGTTACAAACACTGAGAGGCGCTACGCTAACAGTGTGGGAAAACAAGAGCAGGCCAAGATAACAGGAAGGGAAAACAGCCATCTAATCCCCGGGCCAGACTCAAGCTGTGAGGGGTAAGAGGGCTTAGTTATGCAACCTGGGAGCTGAGAGGATGGCGCACGACCAAAATACTGGAGTTTTCCAAAGAAAACTGAAAAGTAACAGGCTTATGGCAACGTGACGGCCTGGGCCACGGATAAATAAAGCTTCTTTGAGGTTTGAGGCCCGCTAGCATGAAACCTTCTGCTGGATGAAGCAGTCTTCGTGATACGTTAGGAGACTACAGGCCTCTCTGGAGCTTACTACGTTGGTGTCGAATGTCTTCTCTCTGGGGAAGTCTTTGTCCTAACCCATGACCCTAGCGACCCCTGCTTTTACTACCTGCATGTGCGGTCGGGGGCTGTGTGTTGGAGATGGGACACTTACCAGACTCCCTGCCCGGCGCTCGATTGTGACGCAGAAAGAACCGCACCTCGGCCCGGTGTTGTCCCCATCGCTGGAGCACATCCAGCATCCTCTCCCCGTCACCTACGGGTCGCTCTGCGGGACGGAACATGCAAAACACATCAGCGCTCAAGTGAGAGATGAAAATGCACACCCATTAGCTCAACATGGGAAATGTCTACTTATATTTAATTGGGCAAGCTTAAAAGCATGTGACACTACCAATCCGGTCGAGTGTGTGTGTGGGTGTGTGTGTGTGTGTGTGAGGTTTGCTTTGAACAATCCTTTTCAAGCCGTAGCCCGACACCGGCCTACACCGATTTTACCGCCGCCATCTGCAGCGAGTAATGACCTCGAGGGAAGAACAACTGTGTTGTGTTGTCGATTATTCTGTCTGGTACTGAGCCAAAGAACTTTTCATCCATTCCTCGGAACGATTTCTTTAACCAGCTTAAGACCATTTCATTACACAAATGGGCCGACGCATTACAGTCGAGTGGAGGTCAATGAAACTGATGATGATTATAATGGCTGACTGCAAAACAAGGTAGGAGATTGATGTGATATTGAGGTCATTAATAGGTTCACATCTAAATGTGATGCAAATTGTTGCTGCCGCGTTCTCAAGGAGAGGCAGCAGCATAGAGTTGAGACACGGCAGCAAAATGAGACAATGTTTCCAGACTACTCGTGGAAGTACTCCAACACAATAATTGCCACTTTCTTTACTCCTATGGCAGCATCACCATGGAAACAGCTACGAAGCCTGGCTCCTTGAGTTTGATTCTGAATACCTCCCGACTCTCAGAGATGGCGGAAAAGGGGGAAATCATAAGCTCACAAACTGCCCCCTCCCCCCATCCCCTCCACCTGAGAGATGTCTGGGTGCTTGTGTTTGTTACAGGGATTATGGGCTCTGCTTCGTTTGCATTGTGGACCCAGAAGAGATAAGCCCTTCAAAAAGAAGTTACTAAGCAGTTGACCACACAGCTAATCTCCATATATGGTCTACTTCAGAAAAGCAATTTCCTTCTAATTAGAAGGAAGAAGACAAACAAGCACAGAAGCACGCTGACTCCCGTCCCGTGGGATCCATCCGTATTATCCCACAACCAAAACAGCATATGACCCAAAGTCCCACCTTTCTTCACTGCGGGTCGACGGGTAACACCACGGAAACCGGCACAGCCACTCACCAGATCCTCGCCACATCTCAGACAGATGACAGTCTGCCTCCCCCGGCTCCTTGCACAAGTCCACCACGTCCCGGCACAGCGTCTCCGGGGTAACAGGGACCTCAGTAAAATGCTGGTCATTGTTACTGAGGTATACTGTCAGGAACATCTGGGGGGGGGAAGAGGCGGATTAGATGACAACAGACAGAGCGTGTGTGTTTGAGCGTGTGTATTACAAGTTTCACCGGCCATTTTCAAACCATTTATAAATTGCTGGTATTTAATCATGTTGAGCATATTATATTGAACATAGTGGAAAGTGCCCAATCATTCCATGTTTTGGGGTTAGGACTCATTTAATTCTTCTTAGCTCACTCTGTGGATGCTAAATCATTGTATTTTCATTTATTCATCCACACAGTTTGCATAGAGACTGTTAGAAAGGTTGTTATTGACTCATATTTCTTTAAGACATCTTAGGAAGCAGTACATCAATTTAATTTACCCCGCTCGGTCAAGCTCTCTTTGGTTTGCTTTATAATGTCAAATAGTGTCAGGTTAGGTTAAGGGGTGCATGTCTGAAAGAGGAACAGATATTGTTTTTTATTTCAAACCATCAGAGGCCAGCTCCCAGAACTCAATGTTACTCCATGTCATCCAACTGCTAACTATCGCTGTCACCACTGTGAGAGATCCCTCTGTCCCAACACACACGCACAAAAATACCCCTGCCAAGCACTCAAGGGATGACCTCTGAGGACTCTTGAGTTGTTGTGACTAACAGAAGCTTAAGACCGCTTTAAAAAAAAGAAAAGGACAATCTCATTGAAGATGTCACCGCAAAACCCTCCAGCTTCTGCAAAACCACAACGCCAAGCAGAACATTGAGCCGCTGGACGGCAAGCGTCCCGAAAGCTGGAATTTCAGTCACATTCCAAACTAAATTAAAAAAAGTTATAATAGGCATTGGACGTATCATTTACTGAAAGGAAGGAAGGCCTATGTCAAACTGAGGTCTCGACAATCTGGGAGTGAAACAAAATTTTTCTGCTCATGTGATTCTCTTAAACCTAAACAAAAACTGACAGTTAACATGAGATTATGTAGATGGAAGACGCAGTGCTGAAGAATATAATCTCATCTGTAAAGTCATTGCACAAAAGGAGAGTGAGCGCATGAGGCCGTAATAAAACCTGTATAACAAAATAACATAGCGGTGTTGGGGAAATGCACAATTTGACCGTATTGAAAATATTCTGCATCAGATAAAAATCAGCCCGACAGGAACTGGAATAACCTGGAAAGTGTATCATTGTTACAATAGTATAGTTTGTGTCCTAAACCGCTTTAACCTCTTTCAGCATGCCTACGGGGGCTGGGGTGGGAACATCAGGTCAGCAGGGTCACAAGCACAAAGGGCGTCGGGGGCAGAGCAGCAGCAGCCGCGGTGCAGAAACAAAAGCGGTGGAGTTCTGGCTGCGAAGCTCCAAAAGCACAACAGCCTTCCGATAAGTGGCTGTTCCTCCTTTTCTTCTTCAAATGAAGATTACCGAGTGAGCGGGCAAGTGAGGCGTTTTCCTGAGCTACATGCACAACTGCTAAAGGTTTTTCTTCTGGCGAAGGTGGAGACAAGGGGATGGGGGGGTGGGGGTCTGACTCAGCGGTGAGTCATCCATGCCGGTAATCCACAGTGCAGCCGTTGCCCCTATACAGCGTGTACGGTGAAAGACCCCCTCCGGAGAACAACGCCAACACCAAGACTGTTCCTTTCCTGTCTGCTTTCACTGTTCTTAGCTCTCATTCATCGCACTCGTCGGAGCAGTAATTAACATAAAACCTCAACTGGCAACTATTCCATGTAGTCCGCCTTTAGTGAAAGAGCCAGAGAGGAGCTGACATCATCACATCTGCCCCGCGCTGTAGGACATTCAAATGACCCCGTTCATATTGGGAGAGTGTAAGAGAGACAACAGAGCGGAGGGGGGCAGGGGGGGTCTGAGAGAAAGTGAGGTGACAGGACACATTGAGGGGAGGGGAACGCAGTCCTGGGAATGCCAATTCTTACACTAAAAACTAGAAGCCAATTCTCTTCAGCACTAAAGTTAATGATCCGCAGACCAGGCCTCCACCCCGGTGAGTCGGCACTTTGCTGCCGACCTTCCTGTACCTCACACACACACACATGGCTTAGAGACCAAGACACATGCCTTATTATTTCAAATAATCACTCTAATCTTTATACATATTTGCACAATCACCTTGCTTTGTGTAGGTGAAAAAACAAGTAGAAGTAACGCATTAATATTGATAATATTAACTGTATTCATATTGAATGGTAATATTTCCACATCGTTTAATAATACACAATAGGATGTCTTATTTAACACAGGAGAAAGTCCACGTTGAGTTTATATTACTAGATGTGTGTGTGTGTGTGTGTGTGTGTGTAAACCACACAACTTCACCAGTAATTCTTCTTGCAAAAACACATTTCACCAAGACAGGAAATCTCGGTACCGCCCGGCCCGACTGCAGTCTCTGCTCGCCGGATAATGGGGACGTGCCTGAGGCGATCTACCTAGTTAGACGGGGGGAGAAGAGTGCCCCTCGTTTCGACTCAGCCAAACAACTTCAGAGCTTGTTAAATATTCATATATACATCAGTGACTCAAATTAAAAACAGCGCAATAATAACAAGAGCCCAGTTTCTAAATAGGCAGCTCGCCAAAAAAACCCGTCTTCGATAGTCTGCCACAACCGGGGAGGATTGTGCACAACACACACACACACACGCGCATTTAACATTCAGACCAAAATGTGCTACACTGGCCTTAGGTCTATCAGAGGCAACTGCTAGGTTGCACTTTCTGCCTACCTGAGACGGGGCGAGGAGGTCGCCCCCGGGGAGGAGGCTGGAGGATGCTGCAGAGAGTCACTATCGTAATGATAGATTTCTAATCCCTCGCAGCATCCGCAAAGTCAAATCGGTTCTTCCCTTTTGTTTGGGACTTGTCGGACGTCGCAGAATGCCAAGATGACGATTATGGCCAGTGCAGAGAAATGTGGGAGTTAACACGGCAGCCATCACTGTGGGTGTTGCTGTGGAAGTGGTGCAGCTAGAAGGTGAGGTCATTGGGGCGATATCTCTGGGATTAAGTTAATCCGCTATATAAAAATCTAGCCTTTTTGACAGACCCACTGGCTGAGTATTACAATAGTAAGCTTAAATGCTAAAGCCTGCAGATAGGTTGTGAGAACGAATACCTGCATTCAACCCGATAGCTCAGTGCCTGGTGTGTCTACAAAAATAGGCACTCTAGTAGGTTGATTCAAACAAAAAACCTACAGTCTTGAGGGTCAATGGCTGATACTTTAGGACATCTGTTCTAATAACACAGACAAGAGAGTATGTGCGTGTGTCTCTCAGAGATGAAAGGCCGTAACATCAAACCGTCAGACTAAAGAAAGACACTCTAATAAGAACACACTTTAGAGAGAGGGGCGACTGCAGCTGGCCGCACACCCTCGGCTTGAGAAGAACAAACACACAGGTACACGCCAACAGTTGTTCCGGGTTATTGAATGGAAACACATTCTTTGTCAACGACACATTCCTGTATGAAATTAAATCGGGTACGGTGCATGCAGGGAGGTGCACAGCGATTCTGCGATGAGCTGACAATATCGGCCACAAAACCTACAGGATGCTGATTTGGCACTTTTCCGTGTGACTTGGATCACAGAGGCCATTGATTGCAGGCCTCCAGGGAGCAGGGTTTTCAAGCCTCCTAACTTGTTTTGACAGAGGACCCGAGCGTTGCCTTGAGTTTAAACAGCAACATTGTAACCGCAGCCAATTGCAGGAAGGAATGCTATGTTGCTGTGTGTGTGTGTGTGTGTGTGTGGCACTCCCACTGATCGTTCAGATAAGATGCACTGCAGCAATATAGTGCGAACATACAGCTCATCCGGTTATCAAAGATCCACCTTAATTAGTGGGCCCTATTCAACTACAGGAAAGTGTTGTGAAGAGTCTGTCTGTTGATTTAAGTGTAAAACTTCACAGATGGGAATAATTACTTTCTCTCAGCACGCAACGTTTAATATACTTTCAGTTTGTGTTAGTGGTGCACGAGTTTGTTAAATCTCAAACAGAGAGACTTGTGCCGTGTTGCTGTGCGCCTGATTACAACCGCCTGCTGATAAGAGTGACAATCTTAATCAATGCTGATAAAAGAGTGACAATCTTAATCCATTATGTTGATCTCCAAGTAGGTAAAACTTGAGCTGATGTGAATGCCACAAAGCAACTCTAACTCTATCTATTAATAAGCTAAATCATTTCAGTGTGTTGGATTCACAATGAAACAACAACTTCACATTACCTCCAATTTGGTAAAAAAGCTTTATCCCCAAAAAATGTTTATTAGCCCAACATCAGAATGTGAAAATCATTTACACTTTACACTGTGTGTATATATCTATATACATTTGGACTGCATTGCTGCCTTGGAGGAACCCCATAGATGTGGTCAGATCAAATGAGGTGCAGTGTCACGCGGCTTGACATAACACACCGGGATTGACGACATCTGATTTAATGCCGGGGGGGGGGGGGGGGGGTTGGATGGGAAGACCGGGGGAAGCGACCGGGGGGGGGCCCGGGATAGCCGCCGAAAAAAAAAGGGAAGGGGGGGGGGGGGGAAAGGGGGGGTGGGGGCTTTTTTTTACCCCTTGGGAGGGGGCCCGGCGAGGGGCCCTCTCCCCCCACCCCCCCAATTAAACGCCTTTGTGCGGTAGGGGAAAGAATGAGCTTGGGTCTCGTTGAGGGGGTCCCCCCTGAATGGGATTACCGCCGCCCCGGGGAAAGCTGCCGCCCCCTCTTCCCCTTGGGGCCCCCAGAATTGGCGCAGTTCCAGCGTGGCAGTCCTTCAAAAAGGCGAGGCAGCAGAAAAGCAAGAAACTCTCTCATGCTTTTATGCATTATTCCTCTTCATCTCTCTCTTTCAGTCTCATTCACTTTTGCACTGGGAATATATATATATATATATTATATGTCCGACATTTAAACAAACCGGAACATACACAGCAGTAGAACTTTTTTACAGGCAACAAAAAGCACCTGCTTCCTGTTTTTAGTTTGAATTTTTCAGAATTTCGTTGATTCTTCAAATGTGAGAAGCGATGTATGATTCCTGCCTCAGTTCCTACTTCACCTCTGTTCCTGGTGAAAAAGGGGCAGCGAGCTTCTCGGAAGGCCGATTCCCAGACCACCCCGGGTACACTCGTGGGTCCCGGCCTATCTGTTCCCCGTAGCCGGACCAGCGCTTCAGCCCTAAACAATGCTGCCACAGTGACCCCCTAAGTGCCCCCGCCGCTTGAAAGGGGGTCACTTTGGCAGTGTGCCACTTTAATGTGTAATTCAGCTCTTCACCCGAATTCCTCACAGATGGGAATCACTCAGTATTCCACCATTAGGTAAGTAGATACCTGTTCAGGTGATTTAACATGTTATCAATTGTCTCAGGTATTATTATTTGTTCTGTCCTGTGGCAGTCAAGTCGCGCTTGTGTACAAAGTTACTCGGTGCCACAAAGACAAAACAACAATGTATCAGTGCTGCGTTTTTTCAGCTGACACGGTTACATCGATAACTCTTCTTCTTCTCAAACAATGCCCTTGAAAGTCCTTGGTTTTCACTGATAGGGTTGCTTACATAACCACCCCGTACTCTCCCACAGACAAAACACAAAGAAAGAAAGCCTCCTCAGGTTTCTGTTGACACACAGGCTTCCAGAGCATCATTTCATTTTCCCACCATTGCCACAAAGTCTAGCAACAGTGAGATTTGTTGCGGTGCAAGTGAGATATGCTACAAATGCGGGTGGTCAGGGAATGCAAAACAAACAGCGTGGCAAGGCAAGGAAAAAGTTTGTTTATCTGTTTAAATCTGTTTATCTGCCACGTCATAGGAGAGGACCAAAGTGTTCCTGCAACATTTGAAATTCTAAAATTATGCAGAAAGATTCTCTTGACTGATGCATTTCTCTTTTTTCACGTTGCCAGAGTCAACGAATGACAATTAATCTCGACAAACAAAAATATTAAACCACGTACATGCATTATAAGTCAACACACTAGCAGGGAATTCAAGCCCACGTGCCATCGAGAGGTTTCTGCAAAACAAAACCTGGTTTGAGGAGAGGCGACAGCGATTCGGGGGTAAAGGAGTTGTACGGGGCCGTGGTTCAAAAAAGGGTGAGCATCCCTTATCAGGGTGCTGCCACACACAATGTGCTCCACACAACACGCTGTTAAAGAGTCCCTGGAGCTCATTGTGTTCAGCAAACAGTGACCCCTTATTTACCATCCCAGCCAGTAATTACGACGCTACATTCTCTCCACCCCCGAGCCCCCTGCTCTGTATGCTGTCATGTGCTGTGACAATACCTCACATCAGACAATTGCATTTAGAGGCCATTTTGTGTTTATCAGGCAACACCAGAGAGCCGTATCTCCTTGTGACACACGTGCAGAATTGTTCTTGCTGACAGAATTGGCGTTAAAGAGCGTAGTTACCAAAGTCGCAATGATGCCTAAACAAAAGAAGCAGATGCTTGTATGAAAACATGCAAGGGTGAGCGTTTGTATCGGTGTCCAACAAGAACGGAGCTCGGTGAAACCAGATGAGCGCGTGCCAGCAGACTCATGCAGGTCACGCACCCGACAGAGGCATCCAAACACAGCAGAGAAGATTCATTCTCTAATTGAAGTGTTTTACAGGAAGCACGGGTGTGAGCAGAGCTTACCATAACGAGAGGATTACGCTGGATGGTGCGTTTTAACATCTTTGTAAACAAAGTGTTCCTGTGTGTTGTACAGCGTGTGACTTAACATCTGGATGAAAAAATGTTCCAGCATTAACTAGAGAAGTTGAGACAAAAGCATTCATTGCTACAGTGTTTACATTCACGTAGTAAATCATTTCCTCTGCAGTGTAAACACTCCGGACACTAGTGCTGAACCGACAATGCCTTTGGCACGAAACAGTTATTTAAGCCAGTGGTCCCCCAACCTTTTTTACCTCGCGGACCGTTTCCATGTCAGACAATATTTTGCGGACCGGTGGAGAAGGTCCGGCGGAATAACAGGAGGGGTAGTAGTCGTTGCGGGCGGAACGACCGACGGGGGTGGGGGGGGTGTAGTAGTCGCGCGCTCTGTGTTTGCTGGTGGGCGAAACTGCCGTGCACGGTAATTGTAAACGTGAAGAAAAACGCCTGGTGACGCGTGGGGAATATGTCAGAGGGACGAGCGCACATAATTAGTAGAAAAGCCGGTCAATTTTCAAAATAAAACATCTTTCAGAAAAATATATATATATATTCTTTGTGTGGTGCGGCCCGATACCAAATGGCCCGGTGGTTGGGGGCCACTAATTTAAATAATAATATTATAATTATATTATTATTATTTATTGCAAAATAATATTATTGCTCTTGTTAAAACTATCTTAACAGATGAATCATTAAAGTAAATTACTACGAAGAAATGCTCCTTTTACGTTTTCCGTAGTTGTTATTGGCATTTAATTGAATTAACGATTAATAACATATAAATTGACATGTGTTGGCTGCAGCCTTGTTTCGTCATCCAATTCTCTGTTAGATAGTTCCATCCAAGACAGAAGTTGAGTTGGGTTAAATGCCTACAAGTTAACAATCCAGCGATCATCTGCGACGATGATGCAGATTGGTGATGATGGCTTGGCAGCAGTCTAGAGCTGAGGTTCTGAGCAGGATGGATGTGTACAACAACAACAAAGCGTAAAATGACCATGGTGTCAGGTATGACGTAATTAGCCCTCAGGACTGGATACAGCGTGGCGTTGTGACGCAGTCCCGTGTGCCGATATCATCCCAGAAAGCAAATAAATGCTCACATGTCTGCCACAGCAAATTAACTTATCGGGGAGGAGGGAAGCCGTGCTTCCATAGACACGGAATACAACGCGTCTTCTAAACACTTCATGACTATTTAAAGGGTCCAGGTGACGTTAACTATCCGGTTCGATGGGGCGATATACCGTGTCGAAAATGGAAATGTTTAGAGCTGTGGGATTTTTTTTTTTTTTTTTAAAGCAAAAAGTAAATAAAGCGTCAAACTCACCGGCATCATTTTAGCTTCGTACCGCATTTAGCTAACCCGACACGGCATGAATCCCCGCCGGCAGTTTCGACGAAAGCGGAGGGAACAGGCGATCACTTTAATCCCGGAGCATAAACCCCGCGACGGCCACGGATACTTTCTCTAGCTCGGGAGAGTCTTCCTGCGTTGACAAAAAAACAAACACAAAAGCAAACATCGTCATTAAGTAAATACATGTAAAATGTCCAAAGAAGAAAAACAGACAATTGCCGTTGCGGAGAACCTGTTGCAAGCAAACAGCACGGCCTTCCTTCGGGACTAAAGTTTCCGTTGCAGTGTGTGAGCCAAGCGAATAACTTTCAAACGGCTCGACGGGAGCAAGACGTGAAGCTCAAAAACTCCCCACTCGAGAGTAGACTAAAGGTACAAATAATAAAAACATACATGTGGGCATTATAGGCTAATTTCCCGAGTTTGTTTTTTTTGCTTACCGGAGGACGCCTAGGTAATCAGCCCGAAACCCCGTTGACTGACAGCGTTGCTCGGCAGCTCGCAGCCTATCCCCGTGTGACGTAGCGAGAGGAAGCTCGTTCCACTTCGGGATTAAAGCTCCGCCCCCTTTGGAAAAGCGAACACCCCCTAACGTTACACTTGTCCGGTGTAAAACAAACATACTAATTCTTTACACTCGCTTGTGCGGATAAATACGTTTATTTTTCACTCAAGGGTCGACACCATTCGGCTTCTTTGAAGGAAATTAAATTTACGTTAAGAGTACAAATCAACCTGAGGGGATTCCTGTAAAAGTAGGACGTCTCACCCTGCTCGTATTTCACAGGCAGAAAGTCAAACGGTGAAGTGGGAAGAGTTGATCGCAAGATGATCCTGAAAAAGTCAAAGTAGACCCATTAATCCCACCCAGTAAAATACTCACTTACAACATGTGAGTATCACAACATGTTTTGTCATTTGTTGTCATTGTTACTTTGTCAATCAGTTCGTTCACGGAAACAGATTATTATTAATTAAAATATAAACGAAAAACAACTGCAATGCTGGTGACATGTTAGGAAAATCAACTACAAATGAACTACGAAATAAATGAAATAATTCTCAAATAAAAAAATACATCTGGTAATTTGTTTGTGGTGATTTGTTTTCAGCCCAAAAGGGCTTTCTCTTTCAATACATATAGACGATCTTTTAAAGAAAAAAAGTCAACTACAACTCCCAGAACTCCCAATCAACGGCAAGCAAAATGTCCAGAAACGCAAGCAGCACATTTTGTGCACGTTGTAAACGACACATCCCAGAGCGTACGCGTCTCACCGCCGTGCAGGTGTTTTGCATAAGAGAACTCATTGCTTTCGCCTTAACAGTGTGCCACGCGACCTGAAGTCATGGCTGAGCAGGTGGCGGTCATGTGTGATCAGCTGATCAAAGCCGTGAATGTGATCATGGACGCAGAAACCGGACAAATTTACCGACTGGAGGCCCTAAAGGTAGCATCGTTTTAGGTTGCTAGCTAGCTGCCAGCTAAATGAGCGTGTCGTTTATTGTAGCTGTTGTAGAAGTAAAACCAGGTCCCTGTGTATCCGAATAAGCATTTGTTTTTTTAGCGTAAATAGCAATGACATAGTTCATACTGCTGGTGTACATTTGTAAACGTTAGCTAACGCTAAATGTACAATTGATGATGGCCAGATGCGAGCTAGCCGGTAACTTATGCCATGATTATCACTTCCATCACAGCAGTCACTGTCCGCTCACCTCCATTCATTCTTTGGAATGGTAACATCTGGTTTAATACCGCCAGTCTCACAGATTTTTGTGAAAGACAGAGCTCAGTACACAGAGTCAAATTCATTCTAACGTTATGTTGCTAATGGCAACGTTGCACCTAGCTCGAACGGCTAACGTTACTTGGTAGGTTAGCTATATGCTAAGCTATACATGAGTACTTACTGTTTTATAACCAATGCAGCTGTTGCTGTACCAATATGGACGCCTTACAAATATAGAGTAATAATACTCTAAATATTATTATTAGGAGAAGCCGTTTGTTGATTTGGCGTTAGTTGCTGGTGATCTAACATGCTTTCTTTTTTTCACAACAGTTTTGTGAAGAGTTTAAAGAGACGAGCACCTTCTGTGTGCCATGTGGTTTACAACTCGCCGACAAAGCCCAACCAGCTGTAGTGAGACACTTTGGTTTGCAAATCCTGGAGCACGTCATCAAGTGAGTACACCGTGGAGCCGCAGTATGATAAGTAATTACATGATAAATGCACATCTGAAAGGCGGTATTTAATGTCTCGCAGGTTTCGATGGAACAACATGCAACAGCAAGAGAAAGTCCAGTTGAAAGAGTGTGCCATGCAGCTGTTATCAACTGTGAGTGTGCATAGTAGTAGGCTTTTAAAAAGATTAGCATCAAATACCACTTAGATTGTGTCTCACAGTCTTAAACACTGATCTGACACCTTCTTTGGGTCTCCTCAGGGTACTCTTGCTATTCTGGAGGAGGAGAGCCACATCAAAGATGTCCTGTCCCGAATCACTGTGGAAATGATAAAGAGGGAATGGCCTCAGCATTGGCCAGATATGCTTAAAGAGATGGAGGCGCTCACTAGCCACGGGGTGAGTAACTGGTAATTAAGTACGTGTCGATTAGTCATGTTGATTTACATGTGGCATTGTCATAACATTTTGGCCATTAGAAATATTAACATTTTATTGGGCAAGTACAGCCACTATGGACTGAAACAACATCTTTTCCACTTCATTATTTTATCAGTGCAAACATGTTTGTTTGTTTTTTAGGCCAAAAGATGCAGCCTTTTAATCAAGTCGTCATTCACTTTTTTTTAAAAAGCCACACGCAAGAAAATTAAGTAAAAGCAAAACGCCCCAATGACTTTTTATAGGAGGCGCAGACGGAGCTGGTGATGCTGATACTGTTAAGGCTGGCGGAGGATGTGATCAGCTTCCAGACGTTGCCCACCCAGCGACGCAGAGACATCCAGCAGACACTCGTCCAAAACATGGAGAGCATCTTCAGCTTCTTAATGGCCATTCTGCATGTTAACGTCGAGGACTACCGTAAATTGGTCAGTGGGGTCTTAACTTTGCTTTTGTCGAAAAAGCTACTATTTTACTGTAACTTACTTGTCAGTATTAATCATATCTATTGGTGTATTATTGCTAAATTAATTAATTAATTTTTCTCATCTAGAAAGGGTCACCCGGACATGAACTGCAGGTGAGAAGACGTTGCTGCATGGCTTCTCTAAAAATTGACTCAATTCTATGGAATTGATTACCTCCCTTAATTCTCTGCACACAGGCCAGAGCTCACTGTCGAGTCGCGGTGGCGACGCTGAACACGCTTGCAGGCTACATAGATTGGGTCTCTCTGGTGCACATCACCACCGGAAACTGTCATCTTCTGGAGATGTTGTGTTTGCTGCTGAGTGAACCAGAGCTGCAGCTGGAGGCAGCGGAGTGTCTGCTCATCGCTGTCAGTCGGAAGGTGAGGCGCAGGCGGTGAAAAGAAAAAACACACTTTTGAAAATCATTTGAAATGATGGTTAAGCCGTCGTGCTTGTTGTGGAGAGATCATTCTTTCAGTCTCATTTATCGTCTGTGTGTGTCTCATAGCTACTATAAGATATCTCTAGAACTACCAGCTCAACTAATTGGAATAGAATTTCTTGGGTCATGAAAAGGAGTCCTATAGATTTAGAGGAACAGCGCCACCATGTGGCTATTGTTCTTCACGAGAATAAGCTCCATCTTTAATTATAGAACTATGAATGACTTGTGCTTAAGTAATGCCTTTAAAGTTCAAATTCAACTAATAATCACCCTAAGATGTGTTTTAATAAATTGTGCCATTCTGCCAAAGGGGAAACTGGAGGATAGGAAGCCGTTCATGCTGCTGTTTGATGATGTCGCCATCCACTACATCCTTTCTGCCGCCCAGTGAGTACGACTGCTTCTCATTTCTCTCCGCATGGTTCAACATGCAGCCATTGACCGGTTTGCGTCTGTGTAATTACAGGTCGGCAGATGGACTGGCAATATGCAAGAAGTCCGCTGAGTCGCAGTAAGTAACGGGACACACCTGCCTCGCCGTAAAGCAGCCATAAAAATATGCCGTGGTAAGTTTAGACGCTGCGTCTAGCTATGACTCATGTTGTTCCGTGTGAATTACTGTAGAGCAGTGGAGGTGGTGGAGCGGCGGTACGTATTCCTGAAGAGGCTGTGTCAGGTCCTGTGTGCTCTAGGAGGCCAACTCTGCTCATTGGTGGTGAGTTTGTGTTAATTTTGCCACATTTTGATGTTTTTATCTGGACCTGGTCCACGCATGTTATGTGAAATCACAAAAGCATAGGTAAGCTTATTAAACGTTTAGTCTTCTTTGTGTAAAATGTCCTGTTCTCGCCACAGGGATCAGATGTGGAGGTCGAAGTACCTGCAAATCTCAGCAAATACACAGCAGCGTTTTTAGCTTTCACAACACATTCCAGTCAGGTGAGAACACAATCATTTTAACTGCATTCATATTTGTGGAATATGGATCTTTCAGCTGTGTTGGGTCCGTCCTCATTGGGATTTGTCCCCCTTTTGTCCTGCAGTTTTTAAAGTCATCCACTCAGGCCACTTGGGGCGCTTTGTTCAGACACGAGACTCTGTCAAAGGACCCAGTTGTTGTTGAGATGGCCATCAAGTACCTCAGAGCATGTATGACCAACCTTGTGAAGGTGAGACGCAGGACGACCGCGCTTCCATTCCCAAGGTACACAGATGTCAAACAGGGATAACTTTTTTTTCTTCCCTTTCTCTCCAGATTGGATTTCCATCCCGAAACGACAACCCGAGTTGCGAGTACTCCCGCGTGGACTTCGACAGCGACGAAGACTTCAATGCATTCTTTAATTGTAAGTATTACGGATCCAGAGACCACAAAATCAATACTTTTTAGTTCAGCCTTCAACGTTTTTCACAGTGCATGTTCATACCTAACAGCTTTTCGAGCGCAGCAGGGAGAGGTCGTGAGGATTGCATGTCGCATGGTCCCTCTGGAGGCTTTCCAGATAGCGGCTGAATGGCTACAGTATCAGATCACCAGCCCGATAGATACTGGGGCTGCAACATGTAAGTGTTTGTACTTATTTTTGAACATCTTATGCAAACATTTCTTTGGTACATTTGGTGGATTTTGATTTAATTTAACATGTAATATATGCAGCACTTAATTTGGGTTTACCACGCGTCACCACCATTGGTCAGATTTACGAGAGCAATCCCTATTAACCACTTGAGTTTAACCGACTCATTTGGATAAGGACAAATGAATGTTTCATCATCAGTAAGGAACACTGCAGGTCCATTGTTTATATGTTTACTCTCTTATCAAAATGTTCTCCTCCTCTCTCTTTGTGCTTCACTAGCCAAGACTGCTGAGGGCCTGTGCACGCTCTTGTCTCCTTCACTGGTCCAGTGGGACGCGATGACTGTCTTCTTGGAGTGTGTGGTCCCACAAATTTTCAGAAATGTAGCGGAGGAGGTAACAAGGACAATCTTTTGTGTCAGAACAAAACCGCGTGTAGAGGAGGGGGAAGGAGGGGGGGGGGGGGGTAATGTTGATTGTAATGATGTGAAGGTTTCCCCCTTCTTCTGGCTCTTACTGTATTAGAAGCTGCCTATAGATCAGAGCATGGAGCTGCTGCAGGCCACGCTGAACTACGACACCAAAGACCCGCTCATCTTGTCCTGCGTACTCACAAACATCTCGGCCCTCTTCCCCTTTATTAAACAAAGGCCGCACTTGCTGCCACAGGTTCTCTACAAGGTCAGCAGTCGTCATTGTACACATGTGTTTTACTACCATACATGTTATTATTGTGTAATTAAATTGATAGTATATATATAAGTGTTTTCTTGTGATGATTTGGTTAGTTGAGGACATTTTACTACTTTTTGTGTGTTTTTGAAAATGTATTTTTGGGGAAAATGTACATTCTGCATTTCTAATGCGCCTGCACTTTGACCTCAGTATTTCATTTTTGTGTTCCTACAGCTGTTTAATGCCATAACATTTGAGGTCAGTCAGGAAAGTAAGGTGAGTTGCCTTCAGAATAGCCGAATGTTGGTACTGTTCCTTTTTGTCCGAATATATAATTTCCAACTGACTTCTTCAGGCACCACGAACCCGAGCGGTAAAGAACGTGAGGAGGCACGCCTGTTTTTCCATCATCAAGATATGCCGGGATCACCCACAGTACCTCCTGGTAAATTTCACTCCATCCCATTATAATTGCATTTAGTTGGTGGATTTTCATGCATAAAATGTGAACCAGAAGTCGAGCTTGCTGATACAATGAATACTTTGACCATTTCATTTATTTTTTCCTCTTCAGCCGAGCTTCGACTTGTTTTACAACCACGTTAAGAAGTTGTTATCAAGCGACGGCACGCTCACTCATATGGAAAAGTGTTTGCTGATGGAATCTCTGGTGCTCATCAGTAACCAGTTCAAAGACTTTGCAAAGCAGAAGGCCTTTCTCGATGAGCTGATGGCTTCAGTGGTTTCAGACTGGACCTCCGAGGAGATGAGGCAGTGCGTCTGATTTCTCGCTCATTTTACTACTTATATCTTCCAGCGTTCCACTGTGATGGCGGATAAATGTCCTTTGTCCCTTTTGTGTTCTTCAGGGTGTTGTCTGACCCTGCTGTGTTCCTGTCCTTCGTCGGCGCAGATCAGGTGGTCAATGACCAAAGTCAGGACACAGCGGGCCTTAACAGGGGCCGGGTAAGTGTATAGACCTATAATCAGCGCTTTGATCCCCGGCTCCTCCAGTCTGCATGTGAAGGTTGTCTTTTCCTTCTTTTTAAAGGCTGAATTACACTAAAGTGATGTCATTTCTGACCCCACCAGAAGGGTTTGCTTTTATCTATTTAATCATTGCCACCACATCATGGATTGAATATTTATCAAAAATCTCAATATGTACATATTTTACAAAAGCAGTTATGGCCAAACCCTACAGGTCGAGGTGTTTCAGTCTGGTCAAAAGTGATGGCGAACAAGTGACTGGCCAACAAAGTAACATTGTCATTCCTGGAGCCTTTGCTAGATGGCTACACATTTGCTTTTTAGGTAATAACTACCATTTCACTGTGTTTCTCCTCTAGCTGGGTTTCTGCCTGTTTGCCATGTTGGGGGTGGTGAAGCGGGCACGCTGGCCTGCAGACCTGGAGGAAGCCAAGGCAGGTGGCTTTGTGATGGGCTACACCGCTGCCGGAGCTCCCATCTACAGGAACCCCCTGACGGCCCACTTTCTGGTCTTGCTGCCCAACCTGCTGGCTCTAATCAGGTGCGCCTGTCGGGTGGCACGTGGACCTTGTGTTCAGCCATGGAGGGAGAACTATGTTGGACTATCAAAAAGGCTGTTTTACACGTGATATGGATATGGAAAGGGTTTGATTTCTAGCTGGTACTCGCATGTGGGTCATTCATGTAAATGGGTCCTCGATAGGAGTAAAAGTATCTCAAAAAACGTTCCGCTGTAAAAACTGATCCGTGTCTTCCCCTTGCCCCTCGCTGCAGGACTAACAACTGTCTGTTCATGCCGGAGAACATGGCTCGCCTGAGTGTGACCTTCTCTAGGGCCCATGAAGTGATGGATGCAGAGAGAAATATTGTTCTTGGTGAGAGGATCTGTCCCCGCATGCATCTGCCCGTTAGTGAGAAGGATTGTGGTTAAACCCTCTTAATATGATCTCCCTCCAGGTCTCTCTCAGCCTATTCTGGATATTTATGACTCCGCTGTGTGTAGAACCAGCTTGGAGCGGATGCAGGGATTTCTCTCCACATTGTATGACAACTGGTGAGACTTTTCCCCGACTTTTTTTTCCTTCCGTATTGTTTATAGCTCTCATGCAGTTGCAGATTCAGTTCTGCTCTCTTTACCTCCGTAGCTTCCACGTCCTCGGAAGTGCAGGTGTGTCCTTGCAGCAGGAATTCTTCAGCATTGAGAGGTTGAGCGAAGAAATAGCTGGTTCTGTTTTTGTCTCCCTCGACCATGTGCCCGATCACAGACTCCGCCCTATGATTCATATCCTTTTTTGACCTCAATTGATTTGATGATTTATTTATTTATTCTTCCATTTGCTTGGTTTGATAGTCCTAATCAAAAAGCCACGGCAAAAAAAGTTTTTCTTTTGAAAGCTATACTTCTCTACGTGAACATGGCTTAGCTATTAACTCCTGTTAAACGTGGGATTTCCTTGACAAGTGCACGTGTGTTTGTGAGGCAGTTGGTGCTATCGTGTCCTCAGGAGTACTTCAACAGTCTACTCTGCCCCCTGCTCGGACCTCTGTTCGCCTACATGCAGCAAGTCAGAGCTCCACGCCTCCAATTCTGTAACACTCAGCCTGAATGTCTTCACTTTCATTCACTCGCTCATAATCTCATGGCCTTGCTTTTGTTTCACACTACAGAGGCTCAACGTCAAGTGGCAGGTCATCAGCCAGAGGAGCTCGGCCAAGTAAGTTGCAGCATAATGTGTCTGTATGTGGTTTTATTTATTTATTTATATATATATATATAGATAATGTCAGCGATTTGGAAATGATGTACTTTACAAGAAAACAAAGCAGCTCCCTTTGTTTCCCGAATGCCCAAAACACAGATCCCAATTCACCTCAAACCGCCAGTATTTTGTTTAGCTGGAGAACAACAAAAACATGTTTATGTTGAATGTCTATGAAACGCAGTCCCTTTTTACATCAGCTAGGAACTCTTCTCAAATTCATTGCACATGCGTCTCCATTGCAAATCCTGTATATTGAATTCTTTGATGCCCCTCTGACTGGTTGTGTGGATACTGGTAACCTGTTTGTTGTGTTTTTAGTGGTGACGAGGAGGAGGAGGAGGTGGTGTGTCAGGAGAGCCAGGTGACGCAGGAGATGTTGGAGGAGCAGCTGGTGCGCCTGCTCAGCAGGGAGGTCCTGGATCTTCTCTGTAGGTTTTACTCCTCCCATTTAAACACAAGTAGAATGAACATTTGTTGACATTCAGGGGATTTTGTGCTCTGACAACATTTAAAAGCCAGGTTAAACATCAGACGAATGCACCCTGAAAATGATTGTGATGTTGCTGTAAACCGATTAACTAGTGGAAGGATTAAAATGGAAAGAAGTCTTGACTAGAATAGAAGAGTTATATGTGCCAGTCACTATATACATTTTATGGCAGAAGCATTGATAAGAACCATCGTGAAAGTGAGTTATTGTTACACTCGTTTTATGACCGCAATGTAATGTCACTGTCTAAACCCACTGGGAACTACTGCTAAAGCACTTAAGTAATGTGGAACATTTGGGTGTGTGCCAGCTACACAACATCATTACGGTTTCAGGAAAGTGCAAATATCAGCCATAATTGCTCTGTAGAGGTGGTAGGCGACAGTGTTCCTTCCATTATGATTTCTCTTGGTTTTAAAATTCTTTACTTTCGCTGTGCACACCCTAGCTGTGAGCTGTATTTCCAAAAAACTGGCCGAACCAGCTGCGAACAAGGAGGAAGTAGACGGTAAGAGTCCAGTTTCAAATATTTCAATCAATTAGTTTATTCTTCTTTTATTCTTTTTTCAAAGATTTGATTTTGATTTCTCAACCCATACAACACACATTGTCTACCTTTTCATAAAAGCTCTTCTTTTGGTTTTCTTCTTTATTAGCGCCTCATCCATCTGTCAGTGCTGTGATGTCATTGAAGAGTTTGATGCCGCTTAGCTGGCCGGACAGAAACTAAACAAATACCCAAATTCTTAATGATAAAGCAGAACGAGACCTGTGTTTGTGTTTTTAGATTCTGACAAAGCATCTGATTGCTTGCCTTGAAATAGGCCGATATACTTCCGAAGCACTTTGAATTGCCTTTTTTGTTTGAATGTGCAATATAAATAAATTGGCCTTGCCCTGCAGAAGAAGACATGATGGACTCGGTGCATGCAGCGTCTCCTGCCGGTCCCACAGAGGAGCTGACTGAGCTGGGGAAATGCCTATTGAAACACGAGGTCAGACCCAGATGCACGGCGTCCCGAGGACAGCCCGGTTACTCATTAAACGCTGCATATTGACTTACGGTCTCTCTTTTTCACTTGGTCCAGAACATCTACATGACCCTGCTGACCCTGTCCTTCACCTCCCTGTCATGGAAGGACACCACCAACTGTCACCGCACCGCTTCGATGGTCTGCTGGACCCTTCTGCGGCAGGTTAGCACACCGAATGCAACAAATGTCCAATACGCCTTTTCATGTCACACTTTTCTTTTGAAGGATAAAACTGCCCATATTCTATATTTGGGATATTTTTCAAAGATCCCAAGAAAGAAAAATACATTTTTCACTTTCCTATCCCGCATGTGGCTCTCGGCAAGATATAAATATTTTAAAGCTGTGCACAAGTTTATTAGGACTTTTTATGAATACTCTGCATAAATCTGCATATGTATTCCAATTGTAAAAAAAAAAGATTAAAATAAATATTACATTATAATAAAAAGCAGCACTACACTACACACTCTCTGTCACTGCACGACATGGCGGGAATCACATAGTCCTTTTCTCTAATTGAAATTAAATCTCACTTTATGATTTAACAGAGAGACGCTGTGTCAACAGCAAGTGCTGGAATCGTATGTCGATCAGACTACTTTCACTTTGATTCAAGATGATTTCCTGACTCAGCAGCAGGGCACCGGGGGATTGGGCCAATGTGAGTGGCGTGAGACTATCTTCACACGCATTTCTTCTCTCGTTCCTGCTGTGTTTCTTCAGGTCGCAGCAGGTAATCTTCTTCCTGAGGCAGTCACGTGGTTCTACACTAGTGTCCTCAGGAGCCTTCAGGTTCATGGGCAGCATGAGGTCTGCAACTCTACCCTCTCTCAGCTCGCCATGATCATTTATGAAAACCTGGTGAGACGGAAGGCATGACTGCCATTTCTGCTTCATTATCATTTAAAGCATTTAAAGCAAAGACACTCTCATTACAAAAAGTCACTTTAAATAATCCTATACATGAGAAAAGAGTCTGAATATTTGGGAGTTTTGTAGGAAAAATAACCATGAATTAATGCTCAGTTTATTTCTTCTCTTTGTGATTGCTACCCCATCTTTCTTAGCGGCCTCGCTACATAGAGCTGAGAGCGGTGATGACCCAGATCCCCAACATCAGTGTGGAGACTCTGGACCAGTACGATCACAGGCTCATCGACCCCAATGCTCAGAAGCTCGGAGACAAGAAGAGGAGAGACCAGTTCAAGAGGCTCATCGCAGGAACCGTTGGGGTAATGCCACATTTAGCGCCTAGAGGGCAGTGCTCCTCTATTGTGTCCCACTGGTTGGCCTTCTCGGAGTGTGATTCTGCCTGTGCTGTAAATCTTCTGTGCTCAGCAGCTCAATGAGGCTGCACAATGTGATAAAAGTCTCTCTAGTAGGTCTCGGATAGCTGTGTTTGACCTCTCCGCTCTCTGTTCCCTGCCAACAGAAAGCTCTGTGCCAGCAGTTCAGGAAGGAGGTTCATATCCGGAATCTTCCATCGCTCTTTAAAAAGACAAAGCCAGACAAAGATGTGCTGGGCAGTGAAGCGTTGGGCCTGGAAGCTCTCTTCTCCCCGGCGAATGATACTTTGTAGGAGCACATCGTGGGTTCTAATGGACTTCATACGGACCGAGGACAGTTATGTGTACGACGCTGGGCTTCCCCTCTGCATCCTCCTCCAACATAACTCGCAACACTGTTTTTCCCAAAGGTCATCTTTTATTTCAACCGGTGTCGTTCCACAGCACCAGTCACAACCATTAGAAAATCCCACCCACTGGTCATTAATGCAGACAGTGAATCCTTTTTTAGAAAATAGCCGTTGGTATTTGCTCTGAAGCAGAAGCTTCATTGAGCCACCAAATTATGAGAGTGACTGACATGTGCTGAAGGTAACGTGTTCACAAGATAAGGTGAAGAGGCTTTATGCAAACATACCCAATAATGAATTGTGATTTCAAGAATAGATAGATATAATAGTTTTCTAGTTTGCAGCCAATACAGTAGTTGGTTTAGGTAATGTATTTAGCGAGTCCCTCAGAACAATTTACACACCCCAAGTATTGTTTTAAACTGCTTATTTAATGCAAAGAACATATCATACTACAAATACTTCTGCCATATATTGTGCCAAAACACTCAAGATAGACTTTGACAAACTTGACCAGACCTAATAAGATATAACTTTCATGAAGATTATTTAAGGATAATGTGTAGCTTAATCCAAGTTTTGCGATCAGGAAACGACGAACCAGCACTACATTCCGTTATTATCCAAGGTATTGTTTTAAGCACACTTCAATTGATGTATTTTGCTCTTATGGAGCTTTCATGCGGTGTTATTTGTTTTGTGTTGTGTAGATTCAGGCCTAAAATAAAATAGTTACTTTGGCTTGGAGTGAGACTTTGAAGGGCATATAGAGTAAAATGGTTCGGATTTGGAGATGTCACTGAAACAAGTTCACATCCTTCATCATGAATAGGAACATTTATGACACTTGACCTTCCAATGAAATTATTTTACCCTTCATGGTGATCGTTTGTACATTTGGCCATTAAAAAAAATGAAACGCTTGTTCAACACTAAAATGTTATGTACAATGGAAAAAATATCCTTTCTAAAATTGTAGTGTGGTTTATATTTTGTTTTTGAATAAAAAAAATGAGATTTCAATTAATCTCAAACTCAAAGTTTTAATACTTTTTATAATGTTTTGTGTGTATGAGCATATTTCCACTGTTTCGCCATGTCATAAACACGTTTAACAAAACATTAATTAAATTGGGAACATCTGTGTTTTGTTGCGTTTCTGAATCAAATTCAGTTTATTCTGTAATTCCCTTCTGCCTGCTATTGATGCTGACAAATTTATAAGTTTGTCAGTTTTTAATTTTGTGTACCTCCCGCGACGACCTACAGGAAACAAATACAATGACTTAAAAATATATTCTTATTAAAAATAGAGTTTTGTGTACCTTTTAGAGCAGCGGTTCCCAAACTCAAGAATGCCGTGGCCCAATTTGAAAATCTGAAAATCTTTCGCGGCCCACCCAAACCTTTAATCACAACTCATCCGCGAGCAAAAGTCCGTCTCCGCGAGGTATTTGCTCGTTTGCGAAACGTGAACTTTCTCTGCTCGCGCTGGAAAGAGTTTTCTACGCGCTCGCTGTTCTTTTTGACAGTAAGGTGGAGACGGTGCTTTCAGGGTCCGATTGATGCTGCGAGGTGCGTCCGCTCCCGCCGCCCCCCTCGCCATCCACGCCTTAAATCTTTGGCTCCTTTTAGAATAACTTATTTCCCCGTTAAGATGGTTCAGCTACTGTAGAGAAAAGGGCGCCGTCTCTCGCTCTTTAATCTCATGAAGTGCTCGGCAAGAACGACAGCTTTGTTTCTCTGACGCGCCATACAACCAGTATGGATCAACCGATTAACCAATTGATCCATATATATTAGGCGCTCCGGATTATAAGTCGTTTTTTGAGAAAATTAAAGCCGTTTAAGTGCGCCTTGGAGTGTGGAAAATGCGGTATATTTACTTTAATACTACAAGAGGCGGCCCTTTTGTTGAACAACAACAGGCGGACAAGAGCAGCCGTTTAGAGCGAGAGCCTTATTGTTTTATTAATCTGTCCGTTTAAATTGTTTGTGCTTCATCAACTAATGTTTCACATAACTATTGTGCCGTATCATACATATTTTAATATTAATTTCAAACTTTTAAAAATTGAAAATTAAAAAACTTTATTTATTTATTGTAAATGACCTCTTGCGGCCCACCTGCATTACCTTCGCGGCCCACCAGGGGGCCGCGGCCCACACTTTGGGAATCGCTGTTTTAGAGGATGTATTGTGAAGGGGAGTGCACGTGGGAAAGACTCCTTGAGAAGTATGTTATTAAAAGCAGTTCTGACTCCACGTCGGTAGGGGGCGGTAATGCGCCGTTTGCTCTTAGCTAAAGTAACTAGAAGCGCAGTGAAGAACAGTGGAGGACAACAACTGCCAACGTCTTTCAGTGGTCCATTCTATTTATTTTATTAATAATTCAAAGTAGCTATTCAAATCAATTCATTTCTGTTAGGCTGCATCGGTACTGTACAAGCATTAAATATGTTTCTGCTTGTTTACTTTTGAAAAGCTTAAGCAAACCGATATAGTGTATGCAGGGTATTATAGGTTTATCGAAGGATGGATTTATATATTTAAAGTGGACCTGACCTTTATTTACAACTGAAACAATCAGTTTCAGTTGTAAATAATCAATCAGCCGGTTGACTGAAAAGTATTACTCAACCAAGATAACCAATTAATTCAAGTAATTTATCAAGCAGAGAAGAGAACTTTGCAGGGGAATAATATTTGAAGTCTGAGGGTCATAAGAAGAATGGAGCCCAAACGGTTCCTTGTGGGCCCCCCGTGCTGCAAGACACCGGGTCTTACTCACTCTCCCGTATACACACATACTGTAGGTGGTTAGTCCAGGATCCATGTAGAGGGGTGGCGGTCCACTCCGGTTCGCTCCAGCTCGTCCCTCAGAAGCAAAGGCCGGATGGTGGTGAGGGCGTCAGCTATAACCCCGTTGCCAGACTTGTCGGCAAACAATCCAAAAATGAGCACACAATCCTTGGATTATCATCATTATCATTAAATCTGTGGAAATACTTTTTGCGCCAGGAAAAGTCTTTGATGGCATTATAATAATGTGATTTTAGAATTGACTCTTTAAGGTAATTTGATGTCCCAGTCCTCTGGCAGCAGTTGCTGCATTGATTGTTTATGGATGTGTGGTTTCACCACACCCTATTTGAAAAACTGCTCGAGCTCTATCAAGTTGCATTGGCGGGTCAATCGATATTTTCACGCCCTGCCACAGGCTTTATAAAGGTGTTGTCTGGACTCTCATTTGGCTTTATGTGTGGGTATAGTTATCATTTTCACAAACTGAAATGTCTTCTTCCACGATTTGTATTCTTCGGCATTTATTTCGACCCTCCAGCCGTAAGGCCCGCTGCAGAGACGCACCCTCACAGCATGGGGCTGCCAGCCCTCGTGGTCGGGATGGCGCGCTTCTGTTCATTTGCACCGGGTATCTTACGCCGAATATTAAGCCCCTGTTTGCTGTAACTGTCTTTGTCACTCTGACTCCAAATGTTTTGAGGACGGCCTTAGTCCGTTTACAGCAGTGGATTTATAAGATATATTCAATGCACTAGTCGTTGCATTCCCCAGACTGATTCTTCTCAGTTGCCTTTTGGTGTAATGAACCCTTAATTGAATTAACTTCTTTTGCCAGAGAATTCTGGCTCACAAAGCAGAGGTTAGACTGTGATTAAATTCAATTGATTACACACAGGTGACCTCCATTCATGTTATGATTTGTATTCTAAAAACAATTTGCTCGATTGATGTTTGGCTGGGGTTTTCTTTATATTTCCATACTTTTGGTAATTTTTTTAAGTTCTGTGTTGTGAAGTGTGAGATACATTTGATTAAAAAAAAACTATTTTATTTTCAATTTATTTTTGCCATGACAAAAACCATTGGAGACCATGTCCTAATGAATACAATAAATAAAGGGTGTGCTCGCTGAATCTGTTAATGTGTCACGTGTTATTATTATTATTATTATTATTCATACAGACGTTGCTATACTTGTCTTAAAAATATATTCGTATTGTTCCTCGTACTTTTAGCTTCATTAGCGTGAACACGTTCTTCCCCCTGCGCGAGGCCTTCGTGTTCTGATTAACCGATAGGAAACACGTGCGCGTCTTTACCTCATAACCTTCTCTTAACGCGACCTGGGCCGCTCATAAGCGACCATCCAGCCTCGGCTCGCACGGACACAACCGCTCGGGTTCAAGATGTTTTTCTGGTGTTGTGTCGTCCTCTTCGCCTCGGCCGGTTGGTCGGTGGACGCCGCGGAAGGGATGACGGGTGAGCCGCGCGCGGTGCCGGTGAACGACACCGAGGTTCTGAGGGCGGCTCATTTCGCGGTGTCCGAGTTCAACGCGGAACAGCGGGTTGCTTACAAGCTCGTGAGCATAAAATCGGCCAAAATTCAGGTAAAAAAAAAAACTAATTTTAAACTTTATTTTTAATAAGAATATATTTTTAAGTCATTGTATTTTTTTGCCTGTAGGTCGTCGCGGGAGTAAACTACATCTTGGAGGTGCTGCTGGGACGCGCGAAGTGCCAGAGCCTCTCCGCCGCTCACACGGAGCCCTGTTTTTTCCGCTTCAAACACAACGTAAGTTCAAGATGTGATGCAAACAAACGCATGCACCCAAACGCTACTCTTGCCCTATGCGGTCGATTGTGGAAATTACAAGGATTCGTTTTCTTTTTTCAGGAACTTCGGTGCCGCTTCGTCGTGACGGAAATGCCCTGGAACGGTTCTCGCGCACTTACCAAAAAAAAGTGTCGCCCATCAAATTGATTTTTGCTGCCGTTGCCAAGTAAACACTTTTTTTTGTTATTTCAACTGTGTTCTGTGTGTTTCATAAACTGTACAGCGCACACACACACCCTGTATTTATTCATTGGCTCCCACACACGCCACTTGTTCCATCACTGAGTGGAGTAAGTTCAGTGACCTGCATTGTAGAAGGCCAGAAGAACTGGCATAATTATTCCAGTGAGTGACTGGGAGCAGCTTTGCTGCGCCTCATCTCTCAGTGTGTGTCCTGGCAGCTGTAAGACTCTAGTTGCGTGTCAAGCCCGGTAGGACACATGGCTGCTAAATGGAGACGAGGCTGCACCTCTTCACACTGCAACCATGGAGGATTACAGGCATTTTCAGATTACTGTCTGCTGCCCTGACCCCCTTTTAATTTTTCTTTAGAAATATAAAACTGATGGAATAAATGGCTTACTAATATACACAAATGCAGGCAGGGGTCTAATGTACGATACCTGTTCATTTGGGGGAATAGTCATTGATATTATTTTTATCTACCATAATTTCATGAATGTTTCTTCTCAAACATTGTTTTGCATCACTGACGGAAATGAGGGTTAAAAACTGAAATTACTGTTTGCCAATTATTAACATTGACACTTCCAAGTGGTGTGGGGGTCAAAGGTACTGCGTCTGTTTGGCTTTGCTTTACAGTAAACAACCGCATGGATAAGCGGTGCAGCCCCCTCTCACCCAGTGTCTCTAATCAGGGACGTCTTAATCAAACTCAGCAAAACATACAGAATTGGCTGGCACTGTGGATTAGTTAGCAGGGGTTAGGAATGTGGGGGAAGGGGCGCCTTCTCAACGTAGTATGACTAACATGGAAGCTCTGGTGCCAGCAGTATGCCGCGTCCATCTGCCATTCCAGCCCGCCCACCCACCCACTGACACACTAACAGGTGCGTGCGCGCAGATCCACGTGTGTTTTCTGTGCACACGCTCGCGTGCTCCACCGCGCACTCTGGCCCTACCCCTGTCCTCACTTAGCCTGGGCAGCAGATGGTGAGGGGCAAGGCTAGTAGCCCCCGCCCGTCCCAACTCCAAGCCACCAGCCCGTCGCTCCCCTTTTTTTTTTTTTTCTCCCTACTAACACCACCCCACCCCTCTTTGTGTGGTTGAAGAGCCTGTGTTGAAAGGGGAACCCCAGCTTCCCTCCTCCCTCCTCAAAAACCCCTTGGCTGTCTGCCATTGGCGGGACTCAGTCAGGTGTTCTAATGCTTCAGTTTAGGGGGAGGGAAGCCGCTGGTTAATCTGCCCATCGGCGTGCCACTAAGCCATGGGCCTGGCCTCTTTGTGTCTGGGACCCCTCTGATCGGGCCTTCATTCCCTTTCATCTGGCCCCCCCACGGCGCCCCTTTATCTTTTCCTTCCAAACGAAGTTCTCTACCCCAAGACAGTTCTTCTTTTCTTCAAGATCAACCCTTTTTGTCAGGATGGGTTTTAACGGCATTCTTCTAATAAATCCAGCAGGTCTGACAGTTTTGAATTGCTCATGGTTAATGGATTGAACTCCTATTGTCCTACGAGTAAATAAGCCCGTCTCTATTTTATGCTGACTCATCTCAAGCTTCCAGAATGCCTACAAACTTGTGCAGAAAAACTGCTGCTGTTGAATATTGCACCGTTCTTCTTGATAAGTTCTGTGCTGCTTCGCACCAACAGTATAGTCGTGGCTTTCCGTGCAACCATGATGTGCTCTTTGTCAATCGTAAATTATACTAAAAAAACACATTGTATTCCATCAAAGTTGTGCTTTGAGTAGCACTCAAATTGAATCAAGGGATTAACGTAAAAATGTACTTTAAGAATGGACTGAAATTTGCAATTTGAAATGTATCTCGTGTAGCTGTGTATTTTTGTTATTTCAGTGTTTCATATTTTACTCTTGCTTGTTCATGCAGGTGAAAGTCCATCTCATCCGAAGGCAGCACCACAACATGCTCCCAGAGCACGGCTCTTATTAGGATGAATGATGCACCTTGCAGAAGGCTGATATGGCGTGATTGCATAACCAGAGAGGGGTCATTACCATTTGACCCCTGCTGACCTTCTTCTTGATTGACCCTGGGTTTGGTCACCGCTTCAGAGCACAGGCAGGAGTATAAGGTCAGAGTTCAAAGTATCATCAGCTGTGCTGCCTTGGAAACAACGGCGTTTACTCCTCTCATGGTCAGTTTTAATCTAAGGAAAGTGGGTAATTTAAAATGTTTTATTTGCCTTGATTTTGTCTCAACTTTGAAAGGTTTGGTTTTTACTTATTTGTAATGCTCCAAAATGACCATTGTTCTTTATGTGGCTAAAAATAAATTTAAGAATATATCCTTTGGACTGATATCTGATTTGAAATATTGAACACTGCTATTTGTAATTGTTTCTGTTGTGGTACTGATGCTTCAGTCATGTCAAAGCAAATCTGCCCGGTTCAAGTAGCATTATGATCGACTAGTTACATTTGACGGATTAGTTATTTGTGCTTATGCTGTTGTTTTGCACGTTTGTCTTGGGGTTTTCATCATGTACTCTACAGCAAAGCATACAGCGCGTGTCTTCAGTACGTGGACCAAAGCTTTGCGATCCGCCATTGTGGTCAATCGCAACACACCGCGGTTTGCTTTTCCACTTCCTGTTTGTGACTGTTGTGAAGGGTTTTCTTGCAATCAGTGCTGCGGCAGGCAGGGGGGAGAAAATCAATACCTTCAATGTAACATGCGGCCCATGGAATAAGGGAATGATTTGTGTAGGGATGGCTGCTCCCTGCATCATATGGGATTTGTGTTTGGTGGCCGGACGAGTCGAGAGGAGGAAGAGAAACCCAGAGCAAGAAGAACTATAAGAGGTTAAAAAAAAAAGTGATCATGGCACCACTCCTCTCCTTTTCCCGCTGTCCCTCTCCTCCTTTTTCTTCTCTCAAGCACACCATGCTTTCCGACGTCCCGCTTGATCTTAGCGCTGTTTTATCATGCAACTAAGACCGACGGGACGCACAACACACGCCAGGAGTTTAGCAGGTTGTAGAGACCACCTGCCAGAAAGGGCATATGCCCCATCTCCTCTCCAGATAAATGGGAGCACGTTAATATCACGGTGCAGTCAGAAAGGGAGCGATCGGGACAAGGGGGAGGGGGGGGGGTATAGGGAGGGGTGGGGAGACGAAATGTAGAGCGAGAGTGTAGGAGGCTTGCAGACAGACGGGGGGACCGGAATGAGAGCAAGTCTTGGAAAGAAACAGAAAGATGGAAGTGTGGAGGCGGGAAAGATCGAGAGAAGCGAGGACATAACGACCATAGAAAAATACGTGTGTGTGTGTGTGTGTTTGCTTTATTGCAGTGGCCCCACCTACCCCTCCATCCTGTTAAGTAGGCACAGTCCTAAGGAGGAGGGGTAGGATCCCCTCCCTCAGCCATGACACACACACACACACACACACATGCGCGCACACACCCTCTCTCTGGCTCATACACACACACTCTGCTCCGTGAGGGAGCAGTCGCTGAAGAGCTCTGGATAGACCATGCGTGCTTCTGCAGGTGTCCCACCCTTCTCCCACCACATGGATGCTTCAGAAGGTTCTATTTCCATTTGTTTATTTGTTCTTTCTGTCATATATCTCAATTCTTCTTCTAGTTTTCTTAGGTTTTCTGTTTCTTTTGCTCGCGGATAGCTTCTCCTCATCGTTCAGCTGCTTATATGTTTGTGTGACATTACATGTGTGTGTGTAACCGCCGGTACCGTATACCACTGTTCTGACAACTTTAGTAGACTGGATTCTTTTAGCTCCGTGTGTTAAACCTCGATTTATTATCATGCCATGCTTCATTCAAAACTAATTTGATTGGGGTCGTGGCTTTGGCCGCTAATTGTAATTGTTTAGTCTTGTATTTTGTTATTTTTATTCGTGCTCAACTCTTAAGGGTGGAGGGGGACAAAGCGCATTATGAATGCTCTGTACACCCTCTTGTATGCGTATTCATGATGTTTGGTGAAGGCTTTCGGTAACCTTATGTAGAAATACAGCATTTCTACAATAAAAGTGATGTTTTCCGCTTTTTAGGCGGTAATAGTGATGAGAGTGTGGAAGAATTGGAGATGGACTATTTTAGAGTGTTAATGGTTGAACCATTGCCCAGGCTTGGCACAGTGGCAGAAACACGATTTAAAAAAAAAGAAAAGAAAAGAACTCAGTTGAGTTGCGACCATGCTGAATATTCATTATTTTTCATTATAGAAAAAGAAGATTTGTGTCTCCAGTAAAAAATAACTAGCAAATGGCCAAACCAGAATACATGCTTGGTTAGACAGAAATAAGGTAGAAGGAGGCATAAAAAATGGCTAATATTCTGGCAACGTGGAGTGAGTGAGGGAGGGAGGGAGGGAGGGAGAGCACATGTCTGGCATGTAGCGGGTTGTGTTGGTGAACACCCAATACACCCTCCTTCTGCTGATACTAGAGATCTAATTACAGGAGCATTACTCTCAAATGTATCGATGAAAACAGTTTCTAGTTTCTATGGGCAGCAGAAACATACATTCTAAATGTGTAGTTCTACGTTCATTAGCCATTTTATTTCGTGTGATATTTAGCGGGATGACTAGGCTAGTTTTGGTCTACCCAGGGGATTTCTTGAATAAATAATCATTTGGTTCGCTCTCCTGGCTTTTGGTTGTATGCTTAGGACATTGTGACCACACAGTCTGTAAATGACCATATTTCTTCCGGCATGATTGAAGTTTCAGGGCAATCCTACTGTCGTCGTCCATCCCAAATATTCAAAATGGGTCCAGGTCGTTGCTTCCTTTCATTTGTTTGAACAGACTTGAAAATTAACCTCCAAATCCATCCTGGAAATCTTTCTTCCAGATCTCCCCCTCATTCCCTTTCTTCTGCTCATCCTTTAGGCTGAAGCAGTGTTTTCTCCCCCCTTGTTTTAGGCTCATATTGACCTGTTAATAGTATTATCCACAGAGCGTGTGGCTGGGCCAGGGTCACATCCCTCTAGGGTTTTGGATGGTCAGCCCTCTGGCCACAGTTTGGTCAGAGAGCGGCCAATAGGACCAAAGCTGTGGTCATCCTTCAATCTATCTCCTTTCACAGCAGAGGTCACATGGGCCAAAGGGTAATAAGTTTAACCCCTTGAAGGGTGAGGAGTCAGAGGTCACAAACAAGGCAATAGCGAGAAGGTTTGCATCATCAATCAGAAGGACCACTGCTTACATCTGTGCTGATGATGACACACGCACGTTTCTGCCAACTTCATTTGCATGGCTTGCTAAACACAAAGGGCAGCAATTAGGATCATCGAATGGGAACAAAAATATTAGTATTGTGAAGAGGCTGGGCAGTCAGTTTTTGTTTGACGCTTTTACAGTAATATTTGTAACCTCTTGTGTGATTTTAACACACTTCATTATGCAGACATTTGAATAAGATCCCGGGTAATGTTTGTAAATGCAATTCATGTTTCTTAATGATTGCGCTGCTTAGCAGATCTCATGCCGATTTCTAATGTCCTAGAAAAAAAAATATATATATTCCATTTGCCGGGAATCAGGTGTTATGTTATCCCTTCATTACTAACTTTAGTGTTTGTTCAAACAAAAAATATATATACATATTTTTTCTACATAACTAACTCGAAAAACAAGGTACTAATTATCCCAATATGTGGAATGTTTATGTGCTTGTTGCATTCTTCACCCTTAATAGTATGCTGCATTGAATACAATATGCTGATATGTTGATTATATCAATGGTTTGATGAAACACAGTAATCTTTGTCACATGACGATTTAAGTGTATTGATCATAGGTTTAATCACAGATGTGTGTTCGTGTTAGTTAATTTCCAGAATTTTGTGCCGATGTCCATTGTCTCGAACGCACCGGTTTCTTTAAATACATTTAATTATTCCACCAATTTTAGGGATGCTATTAAATTAATTTCCTACAATGCTACTTTGACATTTACTGTACTTGAATCCCACCGCAGATGCGAAAGTGTGTTCGAAATGGTGCTGTGCTGATGTTTCAGCATCTCGCGGAGGTCTTTCCTCCTGGCTGATGTTAGCGATGTGTCAGCATTAAGCTCGGCCTGCCTGCTAGGCCGCGGTGGCGACCAGCCGAGCCTGGCCCGAAGCCAGACCAGACATGTCTTGGCACCAGACAACAGAGACGTGACGGGACGGGACCAAGGATTGGCAGAAAAATATGATCGTGCAGTATTGCTGATCCATATTACCACCAAAGTACACAGGAATGTTTATTATGCATATTCCTTAAGGGATAATAACTTGAGATTTTCCGCCTCTTTTTTCCCTTTCTTTTGGATTCAACAGTGTACTCTGAAGGGAGAAAGAAACAGCGGGAGGAAGCAGCGGATGAAAGAAGACATCCACAAAGATCCCGCGTCCGACTCCAAACGTGGAAGTCGTAGTTACATGGTACGTTCAACCACCGCGATAGTCCTGATGTGAGTTAACTTTAATTAGGAATAAGAAAAAGCTGGCTCCACGTGCACATTACACCGTGGTGACTGTATGTTAAAACGCTGCACGCTATGAGGCCCGTGCATGCCATTGAATGTGTGAACAAGAGAGATGTACATGTTGCTCAGTCAGCTATTGCACAGACAGAGACCATCAATCACAAACGCATGGTGAGCCGCATTGCTCTTTTCCTGCTCCCCCAAGTCTTTTCTCTGGGCTGGAATTACACAGCATTTTACCTGCAACACTGCATTTTTCTGGGCTTCATCATAACCCTGCACCCTAAACCCAGGCAACACATTTGTGCGCCGCCATGTCTTTTCAAACTGACGAGGGGAAATTTCATGAGAAATTCTAAATCTGCACCATATATTGTACAGTGTTTCTATTCGTATTTTATTCTCTCGTTGCAGTAAAATGTGCACAGAGGGACGTCCGTAATGTTTGTGTTTTTCTGCAATCTGTTAAAATAACACTACAAGTACTAAATATGTTATTTAGGGCCGTTACCTTGCTGTGGTTTATTCGTGTCACAACACGGCTTCTCCAAGCCTGCTTGACTCCTTGTTTCCCTGCATGCGCACGATGCCACGTGTTTAATAACTCGGTAAGAAAATAACCTTTTTTTTTGTTCTTACGTTTCACCAATATTGTCGATTCTTCCTTTTAACATTTTCAACATCTAATTGGATCCTTGGTATGATCTCACCAAACATTTGCTGTTTTGAATGTAGACAATTTTAAACCATAAAGCCGCATTGACCGCTGAGACCTTGGGCTTTGGAT